ATTTGTGTGAACCAATCACATTGAGGGCAGAAGAAAAGTCATCGGTTAATGAATGGAAATTCGAAAAGAAAATGAAAAATCAAAAACTGGGCTTTAATTTGATGTGCGTCTCGAACGCCTGAGAAACTCGTATTTTTCTGATTGTTTGAAGTTCGGGTATTTATCACTCTGGCTATGGCAGTTTACTGAATGGCCCGTAATCTGAAATGGCTTTCAGGGTGCACCCACGTAAGTAGGCCAAAAAATATGTCCGCTGAGCGCATTAATACAAGTTGTAAACTCAAAACCTTTCAGTGTCCCGCCTGCTTCGACCGCCAAAACCATCTACAAAATCGAGATTATTATAACACGATTGGAAAATGGAACTCCAGAGTAATAGAGTGTGGTTGATCATCAAATGGACCAGTTTTGTATTAATTGGAATCCAGTTTCTCGAGGAATCCAATTTATTGCAGAATACCTTAGGGCGCATGTGGCCTTGTGGTTAGGGTTTGTAGCTTCTGATCATAGCGGTCGGGGGCTCGAATCCAGCTGATGGTAGCATTTTGTGATACAGGGCAAGTCGCTTTACCCCCATGTGCCTCTCTCCATCAGAGAGTAAATGGATACAAATGAGGGCAAATTTGGCTGTTAGCCGTGTGCACCTGATAGGGCTACATCAGCTCGTAAATTACTCCCCTGGCAGCTGATATGATTTCAGGAAATTTCAGTTGTTGTGACACCAGCGTGCAGAGATAATGATGATACAGCCCCTTAAACATCAGTTGTGGTAGATGTGTGTGGTGTATAAATATCTTCAATTATTATTATTGATTTCATTTGTTTATTAAGTTCGTTTGGTGGATGGATCAGATTCATCAGAGGGCCACGTGGAGGTGTTCGCCCTCGGACAACTGGAGCTTTACAAGTGCCAGTGTCGTCTGTCGTCAGCTTGGCTTTCTCGGGGCGATAGAAGCAGTGACCAGGGCTGCCTTTGGCGAGGGGTCTTCCGGGATCGAGATATTACTGGACGAAGTGGCGTGCACAGGTGACGAAGAAACGATATTTGATTGTCAACACGATGGCCTAGGGGTTAACGACTGTCAGCATAGTGAAGATGCAGGAGCCCAGTGTGAACAAAAAGGTAGAGAACCTTTTCATTCGATTAGAAAAACATCATGCGTAACAGGGAACCTCAAATCTCTTGGATCATTAAGCGGCTGATATCTTAATTACGTTACTGGACGCTGGTAGACCAGAACGAGGAGGCTCCATAAGGAACTATTCGGTGTACTCATGGGCTACTTCTACTTGTTGGTTTCCTTCAAAGATTTTTCACAAATAGATATTTCGAATTAAATGAAACGGGAGAAATTTCCATGGGGTTTATGGTTTAGGTCGGCATGGGTCGCGTTGGGTCGGGTAGGGGCGGAGCTGGTCGGGGTTGGTCGGGTTGTGATGAAATGCTTGGATTGGGTCGGCTTCTGTTTGTATTGTTTCTTAGGCTTACGGTGGAGCTTGTTACTGTTTTCACTGTCCAGTTAACCTATGTTGCTTTCTATCGAAGTAGCTGTGACCACAACTGTTCAGGCCGCAACAACGGAAACATCTTTGGTTCAATCCACGATTGAAATGGGCACGACAGATATGGCATTGGAAAAGGTGCGTGGTTCCTCGGTCCAGCTCACAACTGCGCAAACGGAAAATGCCTTCGATGAATTTACACCTACTCATGCCAGCGCTTCCCTCCACGAATTTCCAATTACCACGACATTCACAACTGGTCCTGCTGGAGCCAAAGACGTCCATGCAGTCGAGTCAACAACTACGATATCTGGACGTTCCTTTGATACATCTACAACCACGCCCTCTCGAAGTTCCTTGCTTGACTTTTCAACTTCGGGGGCTATAGACTTCTCAGCAACATCGGCAACTACCCAAATCAGAAGTTCTCCTGTTGAATCCACAACTAGTCAGGGCTCCTTTGTTACATCCACAACGTCCCTGTCCAGGAGTTCCTCCATAGAATCATGGAGGAAGGACCTTTCCTCCATAATAGAATCTTCGAGTCACCCGACATGGGTTGTGGCAGTCGAAACTACCACTACGAGCCAAGGCGGAGTTACCACAGCCACGAGGTTAAAAATTACCACGCAGGAGGGTACAGCCGGGGGATCATCCCACACGGAATCCATGCTCACTACATCTGAGAGTGCGATTTCATTAACGGACGCAACGAAAGGTGACCATTCCATCACAGAATTCACAACTACCCGTGTAAGGTTGGCTGACTCAACAGTTGACACAACAAACGGGGCCCCGAAGATTGAACAGTCTACAACTAGTTCTGCTACTTCCCAACTGCGCTTAGTCACTACAACCCCTTACACGGGCAAAACAGGACATCTGGACACAATGACCAAGATGACTAAAGTGACCACGCTGGAACCACATACCACACCAGGTAAAGACCTATCGCCACTTTCATCAGTCCTCAACCTAAATTTCTATTAAATCAGTCACACCCCTTTTACTTCCTAAAGCCTTTCGCATCCTTTCAGCCAAAGTGAGGCCTTTAAGTTTGGGTCTGCAGGGTCAAAACTGAATTCAAGTCTTTTTTTTAATTTTTCTGTACTAGTCCTTGTTTTTTAATATTGAAAATGGGTGAGTATCAAGTTTTGTTTCGATTGCAACCCGATACGTTTAATCCCGATCCAGTAAACCCAATAGCTTTTTTAAGTGGTCTCCGAAAGACCAAATCTGAAATTTAGCATAATTATATCAGCTGCAATTTGAAACAAGTTCATTAGAAAATAAGCTTACGAAACTACACAATCACGCTTTAATTAACACTAATTTGGTCAGAGGATTAGATCTACTTGAGACGGAAAAGCCCAATAGTGATGTTTTTCCCCTTTTTAATTATATCAGTTATACTTTGTTTAACTTTAACACCCTCCTAAGAAGAACTGTTATGCCTAAGTAAAGTGTGATGGAAGCTTGCCCATCCTTCAATTTTATTAACTGCGTTCTTGACAGACCTGGTTAGTCAAAGTGTGAGAAATGCCAGGAGGGCTGGACATTGGAAAACAATTGCTGTTGTGGCAATGGAGAACGTTCGGTCAGTCGAGAAAGGACTAGACACTGAACGTATATCAGGCTAAAAGAAATGAGGCAACAAGTTTTAATGCATGACTACCTTTTCTAAATTAATATTGGATTTCTGTGGTTGTTAGATGAGTAACAAATAATAAACTCATCAATAGCCGCTTTGATATGTTGCACAAAATAAAAACAATCTGTACTTGGCACATTGACCTACATTACGATCAAATAACATTTGCTGTTCAAAGGTGCACCAGGTCATATTTGGTGAGCAAGACTTTCTTCGTCAGTTGTTCTATCAGTCAATTCATTACCATTTCTCTCAAAATATTTTTGATACACCAAGGTCAAACGAGCATTATTATGATTACACCTTTTTTTTCAAATATCACTGTACCCGGCATGGTGACGAATAATTGTAGTTGTTACAATTCACCGATTTCCAGTACTTTTAACATGAACAGATGCGTACACAGAATGTGGATTTGCGATTTGGGCTTTTGTCTTTTCTGATTAAAGAACCTCTACAAGCAATTAATCATGGTCGTAAAGAATCCCAGGAGGTGAGGGTATATATCCCCCAAATTTTGGACATGGGGATGGGCTACTTAGTCAACCCCCCCCCCTTTTGTGGTGAGCAAAACCCAAAAACAAAACAGAAACACAAAACAAACAACAAATGGGATTGTGAAGACTCTTTAGGACTTCCCAACGACTAAATATCACTTAAAAAGATCAAAGATTGAAAAACATTAACGGGCAATTCTGAGGTAACATTCTGCATTAATGTAATACATATTACAGATTTGTAATACATATTTAGAGATTTACCTCTGTATCATGGCAGTTACCCCATACATAATGTCGCACGGTGTTACCCAACCCCCTACTTCCCACCCCCACCCCAGCTCCCGCTCTTTTCATATTTCCATGGCCGGGCAAGTCATCCTCCCACAAATCCCCATCCCCCTCATTTTAGCACAAATTTACGTGACTGCAATTATCCCACTTCTTGTGAGTTTTCATTCTTGTGGATAAGGTTGATCTATATATTGGCTCTTTGTTCTTCCCTTTTAAGCATTTTATGAAAATGTGATTTTATGTTCCTGATCTAGGAAGTTTAAACACCAGTGGTCAATGCTCTTTACATGTCAAGAACAGTCACGGGCATTTATAAACACATACTTTTCAACTCCTTTAATTTGATCAAAACTAGGCCTTCGTCATTCAAAGGCAGGGTAAAAATTATCCACATCAACGGGATGGTGGCAGAATTCACAGATGGTCTCCGGAACCAGTCGTCAGAGGAATTTCAAGCTTTAGCAAGTGACGTCCAGGATGTATGTAAATTTCATAAAATAAAATCTGTAAAGTGCCCCCAAAGGGCTTTTCTTGTTGCATGGGCTGCCAGCGCGGTATGGGATGTGGCGTGCTGGAGTTGTTAAACCCGTTTCTAAACAGTTTTTCACCCAATTTTTAACACATTTAATCATCCAGATGTTTATTATTGTTGTGTTGAGGAATGTGCTTAAATGCTAAGCGGATTTCGAAAAGCTGAGCCTGTGCCATGGAAAAGCATTTAGCATATTCAAAACTATTCCTAAAAACATTTCAATGAATCGGCCGTGGGTTAAACGTGTTAGGAAGTGGGTACAAACAAGTGTTTAAGCTCTAAACGTTGTTTTGACAGTTTATTATTCGTTTGTTATGAAGCCAAATGACTCCACACGTGTACATGCACCGTCTTGAATGCGTACCTGAGAAGGAAATATTTTAATTAAGCAAGTTCAATTTCTTGTCCTTTTCCGATCCCTACTTTATCCCTCTCGCGTGGGCCTTTCTCCTAGTTGCGAGAGCCAGCCATTCAACACTACTTCCAATACCAGAACGTTGTGTTTTCATTTTGATGTTTTTTCTCCAGGTCATGACCAGCATAACCAATGCAACGTCCTGCAGACTGCTCAGTTTCACCAACGGGAGCATCAACATAGAATATCTGTTGTTTTTCCTTGAATCTGCGACTGTAACTGAGGCTGGGGTGCAAGAAGCCATCATCAAATACGCATCGGGAAACAACACCGTCTACCTAGAATTTGACATGGAAACAATTGTAATTGGGAATCATAGCTCGGTGACTTTTTCATGTGAAAAATTGCTCACCCTGATTGAGTACTATTTGGAAAGAGGTCATTACAAATGTACATGTAATTATGCCTGCTGGGAAATTAGCATCACATTTGAACATATTGATCAACACAGTGATACCTCACAAAGCCGTGTCTTTTGTTTGTCTTGTTTTTATTTCAGAAATAAATTCTCCCATCTGTGAGCTCAACTCTTGCTTAAATGGCGCTACCTGTTCCGTTATTAAAGATGAGGTGCAATGCATGTAAGCCGAACCCCTTCTTTTTAAGGTATACGAAGAAACATGTATTTTGACATTTGAAAATGCGACCCTCATTTTCCACACTGTTGGGCCTACGGGTTTTAGTTTGCATGCAAGAAGAAACGAACGTGGAGATTACAAATGTGTAACCATTCCACCTCGAGCAGAAGCACGCCCTCATCAGTTAAAGAGCCTTGTTGGTCGGACTTGTTTAATCATTTTGTTATGCGATGCAGAAGCATCATTTGTGTTCTTCATATTCGTTCGTTAACCAGCAAAGTGCAGTTTCTACCGAAGGAGCCTGCGTTGCTGGGAAATTGCGCCCTCTATTAGTCCAGCTAAGGGCTCATAAGCAGTTGTGTACATAACCAACAAAACTCTCCAAGTAAACGATATAATTGGTGAGGGTATCTGCCGAGGACTGAGGGAATGACTTAAAATTTCCCCTAACTGCAGCCATAGAAATTCCAATAGTGGGCTTGCTGGGCATCACACATAATTGCTCCCTTTAAATTTACAACCAAACGGACCCTTTAAAGCATTTGTACTTGTGCTCCTATTTTCTCTTTTACATATTAAGACATTCTAGTTGTCGGAAAGTTCGAAAAATGGGAGTGTAATCTAATATCCCCACACCTTTTGGTCAAAACGTTGGGGTACATGTTCATACCCCTTTACGCCTTCCCAGGGTTCACACCTCCCCATAACGATATCATAATTGAGGAAGACAACCACACTTAATTCTCTGTACGTTGCCAAGGTTTGAAAAAGATTGCATTTGAAGTGTGGGTGCGATTTTGGATGCCCTTTCATAGCATACTTTCTCTCTTTCCACTTTGAACACCAAATTATAAACATCCATTATATCACTGTGGTTAATCCTTTAATTTTGGCTACATCTAACCATTTGACAGGCACTTGTCCGATGTTGACGAACCCCAGAACGGGGACCGTCTTACAGTTGCTTTTCTTGTACCAGCAAGCGGAATAGACGAGCAAGACCTCGCTTTACAGTCGTGTACCTACCACCTTCCCATAACAGAAGAGCCATCCACTTGTTTTCATCCCTTTCACAAAATGTGTACAAACTGTCGCCCCCTTCCCTTTCTGGATCCCTCCTAGAGCGTACAAACTGCAAAGAAAAAAATGAGGCTTTCTGTGTTTGGCGTCACCATCACTGCTCTAACATTATTTTGAAAAGCATACTTGACAACCCTCCCGAATCGCAGCGCAGGTTTATTTACACTTGTGGACATGATGGAGAGAGGATGGATGGCCCCCAACCGATACAGGACTTGGGCTGGATCTTGTCGCTGAATGTCAGGGTGATTTTCACCCTCGGCGAGATATAATAGTACAAACAATAGTGCGTCCTATCTCTCATGATATCATTGAGACGGAAATATGATTTTCATGTCTACGTTGCAGACTGCGTCCCTTGTTTTAAACAATACCATTTCCATGCATGTTTAATCATTCCAGATGTACAGCCAGCTACACGGGGAGCAACTGTGACATAGGTAAATCATGAATTTTGCAGCCATTGAATTAGTGAATCTGGAACATCTTGATCAGAACATTTTAATCGACGTATTTAGTAACTCCCATTAACATAGCCGGCAAAAATGGAGCTGCAGTTCACAGTAAATTGTTCTGAGAATCCAATAATCCACAATGTCTACATTTATATAGTTTTTATAATAGTATTTTTACCCATCTCTGTCACAGCAGTTCTTCCGCTGTCAATGATTGAAACCAGCACAGGTAAGCTACTGATTTTCAACAATGCCACAGGGCCCTGCGCGCGGCATGTTACCGCTTTGTTTAAATTGAAAGCACTAATATTTCAGGACAGTACTACCAACTTTCTTTAGGGATTAAAGATTTGCTTACGGAAAAAACTGAATAAAAAATATTTTCAGAAACTCCTCTTTGGCCATCTTTCCCCTCTGACTTCAAACAAGGATAGGCCGCTGCATAGAGTGTACATGTGACTGTGTTATGCTAGTTTCTTTCGATGATTTCATCACAACGATGACAGACTTTGTGAACAGGTCTCTTGATAAAATGATATAATGTCAAACTCTGTTGTGGTATATTTTATTAACACTTTTGATTTGTTCCAGCTACCGGTAGATCCTTTACCCATAGTGCATCTTCCACCGTGACACGTAGAAGAAGTCTCGGTCCTATCGACACTGGTCTGAGTAAAGCCACTATCATCGCTGTCGCAACTGCGTCAGTGGTCACTCTCATCCTTGCTGGAATTGTTGCTGTCGTTGTCGTCGTGACCAAGAAATGGGGCAAGACAAAAGTTGTTCCGTCCAGTCCACATAGTGAAGGTCAGCTGCTATCAGGACCGGGTCACTAATTATTGCTCGTGTGATGTACTTTGGCTAAATTAAATGACAAATTGGCACTCGGAAGGACTCAATATTTTCCTTAAAGTGCAACTTTCAAGTTGTGTTTTTGAAAGTCTAAGAGACACGCTTGGGAAGTTGTTAGCCATAGGCAATAAATGCAGATGCGCGTCTACATCGCATGCATTAGTTGTAGGTCGAATGTTCGTTGATAAGTCTCAACGATTCCCGATTTTGACTTCAATTACCGATTTGGAAGGTTTGGTATGACTCTGTTTGACGTGAAGTTGACCTTTTGATGTTTAGATTCGTGGGGAACCATACCTTTAAATTTTGAAAAGTTTGAAAGTTTTTGTTTCTCTTTAGTTTGTCAAAAAAGTGTGACAAAATTAGCCTTGGATGGTATTCATGTGAATGATGTGTGATTTTTGCTGCCGCACCATTGCATACTTGTTGTCTTAGACACGAACATTACCATTGGTCCTATACTGGAGCTGTCATAAATTGGACTGAGTTATCAGAGTAGGTGTGCATATGATTATTGATGTAATTATTTTGAATTGGTGTTTTTGGACACAGCATACTTGAGCAGATCTCCTCGGTTTTTTTTAGAGTTGAAAAGGTTTTGGGTGATTTCCGGGCAGGGGCAGACCTTCGCTTTGAGGAGCCCCAACCCTCTTTTAGCCTAACTCCAGCAGATTTAACCTCTTAATATTACAGAAAATATACTTTAAAAATACATACGTGAAATCACTTTAACATCTGGATGCCCTTTTAAAAATCATGAAAAGTGACAGTGCATTTTTAAGAGATTTTTATTTCGATAAGGCATGAAAACAACAGGTTTGTAACTTAGTTTTAAACTGCAACAAATAAGAACTATAACAGGAAGAAGGCTTCTCAGAAATGTATCATTTTATCAAGCACATCATAGAGTAAATTGAGTTTGTTTCTTTGTGAAGTCTTTCATTACTGTGGGAAGAAAAGCAGATATCTATGAAAAGGTGATAAACCTTTCAATTGAAACCACACTGTTTAATTCATCAAGTTCATATCGTTGGCCCATTATTTTGAGATTACCTCATTCGGTACACTCAGTGTACATGAGGGAGAGATTATCGTATTGAGAGCATCGCAAAACGGTCCCCAACAATAAACGGTCATAATGGACATTATTTGATATTGGCGAAAGCACGGACGCCAGGAAAGTAGGATCGTGTTCAACTTTTGCCGACTGTCTACGCCGATTCAAGCACGCATGGTGATATGACCGGCGCACGACGTCCTTGCTTAAATACCTATTTTCTCCTGAATCAGATATGAAACCAAAACTGTTAATTAATTTAGCTGACAACAAGTGCAACACAACGAAGCACCAGTTTAGACCACGTAAGAACATCAATGGCTCAAACTTACCACGTTATCTCGTTCAGTGCAGCTTTTCTGTTTGCTTGTGTTTTGTTGTTGCTGCTGCTTTTGTTATTCATAAAAATTATAATTCATTTATCGGGTGAAACAATTTTGTTCTCAAACCTGTAAATAAAGAGTGCAGTCCCTATATTCCTGGAAGTTCTGATACATGTCTTTGTATTAGGTTTCCAAACTGCCTTGGCTAGTATTCACGCCGGTGACTGTGATGACGATTTGTTTCAGTTGTTTCAAAGTATCACAACCGTATAAGAAACACTTGCACGTATCACAGTTACCGGCTTCCATATAGGACTCCTCTAGCTTTTGGGGGGGGTTTTGGCCTTCCACACTTCCATCCTTGCCTATTCATGCAATCAAAAATCTTCAAAGTCAATGCAAGGGGGAAACGAGACGGCCCCTGAATAGGCATCCGAGTCGGCCATGGGTCTCGAAGCTGTACTGAAATGCTCTCCTGGACTTTGCAGAACATCCTAACAGCAGAGGTAGTTTGTCAAGTTAAAGTACTGTTGATATATTCTCACTGTCATTTCGATTATTTATAGAAGTGCACTAGATCAAGTACGGGACAAGTCAAATAAAAAAAGCAAAACCGAAGGTTGTACCAGGATTGAAATCCCGAAACTCCCGCATCCTTCATGGGCCAAATAAATCGCTTGTTCATTTATAAGACGACAATTGCTGTCTGCTTTAGGAACTTGAGATGGGATTTCGACAACCCGTATATCAGGTGGACAGAATATATTTGGTGGGTTTCGCACTCGGCTGTTACCTGGGTTATCTAGGGGTTATTACAAAATGCAACCCTGAGATTACCAGGGTAATTGGGGGTGTTCACACTGCGCTTCCCCAGGTTTAACATTCTCCGGGAACTGCCTCAAAACTCCCCTTACCCAGTGTCACAGTCTTAATTTTCCGGGGTGCTAAGATTTCCGGAAGAAGGCACCGGATAAATGAGCACGTTGCCGCAACGTGCCCATTTATCCGGTGTGCTGATTTTTCCAGTTTCATACACGGAGTCTGGTTCCACATTTGGCGTAATCTAGAGTAAATACGAGGGAATTTTACCGAGGAGACTGCAAGATCGGGGAATTAAGGGGTTGTGTGAGGGTTGGACATGCTGAGGAACAGGCCTTTTTCGGATGTTTGTTCAGAAGTACACCCACCTGTATGTACGCCTGTACATCCGCACGAAGGCCTGGCCGTGATCATGAGATGTAGGAACTTAACCCAACACTGAAAATTATTGAAAATAATCAAAAGTAGAAACTGTTTTGTGTTGTACTTCCTGGTTATCAACTAAAAGTTCCAGCCTTGAATGCTTAAAGTTTTATACCCCCTGCTTTCCAATGACTAGCGTTGCAAAGGTGAGTATAAAATGGCCAAATTGCGTTCCACACTTGGTAAAGAAAGCACAGGCGAGGCGGCAAATACATCAGGATACTGGATGATTCAAAGGTTTACCAAATATTTTGAAAGGAGTTAATCGTTATAACTCCTTTTAAAGGACGATAGTTTTACATTCCAACGGACCAACAACACCTCGACTGCGCGACTGAGCTTGTGGGTAACTTGCTCAAATGAGTTTTGAGTAGCTAAATTTCAGGTTGACTCTTAAAATTCTGAATAGCAATTAACGATGAAGTTTTAGTTCAAGCATAAAAAACTTACAGAAATCGACAGCAGTTCCACACATATAACATTTATTCAAACATCACAGCAAGCTTGGCACTCAAAATATGTGAAGCCTATACGCTTGGCTTGTCTTCTATGTCTACAGCGGCCGTTGCAAAAAGTGAAAAAAAAAATTGAGTAAAGCCTGAACTATAATCTATAAATACAGCCGAAGCTTTTTTTAATTATATTTTTAAAAATGAAGTAAAGTATATTATTAATAAATGAACGTAATTTAGGTGTGACTGAAAACCTTTACTTACAGAGAACAAACGTATATAATTAAGCATCTATCTAATGTATATTCTAACCATCGTTGAGTGCCAGTCAGCGTTTCAGGATTAATCCTCAAACTGTCAAAGAGGAACATTTTGAAATATTTTATTAACAGTTTTGAAAGTTCTCCACGCAGCAGAAAATAAGTGCTAAATGCAGTTTATGATAAGAGCACTCTACTAAAAATGACTATTTTGAGAGAAAAACAGTACTAGAGTTATGTTGAACTTTTCGATTGAATGACATCACATTTGGGAGAAAAAAAATAACAGAACAGAAACCAAAAGTCAATTTGCAATTTGCATTTTCAAATTTTCAATTTTGCAACTGTAATGAGCATAATTCATTTAGCGAGCATTATTAGGTACTACATTATCTATATGCATTTACACAGAAACCCCTCCCTACAGGCAGCTATAGCTTTGCTGTGGCAAGGATGAATGAGGACTAGGCCTTCTTTTATATCATCCTATCTTCTAGGTAAATAATGGAGAGTCCTCATAAAGAATAAAGATATGTAAGAGACCAAACCCCATTTCCTAGTGTCAAAACTTGACGCACACACGCAGTGATCTTTGTGAAAGCCTTTAATCAGGGACGTTCCGTTATTCCTTTTTTATCTCTAAAAAAACTTTTCATGTTATTTTCATGATCTATTTCGTCAGTTGAAGAGGTTTAATCCACTCTAGGCCCCAGTGCCCCTCGTTGATCAACGATTAGAACGTGTACGCTCGTAAACGAACATAATACCGTCTAAAACATGACTTCTTACGCCACTCTGGTATACCACCACTGACTTTGCAAGAATGAATGCTCTTATCGCATTCACAAGGAGCTGACCAAAATATCCTAAATTGTCGTCTATTTTCCTCTTTTTCTTCGAAGCGTTATTCACCAGTATTTCAATTTCTGTGTTTTTAAAATCTTGTCAGAATAAGTGCAAATGAATGATTGACTTTTTCCAAATTCAAACTTCCTTGACACAAATTTGTCTTTGACAAGCGCCCGACAATCTTCTGGTTGGCTTTTAAGAGCAGCATACTCAAATTGTTTGCCGAGACGTTTGACAGTGGACTCTGATCATGTCTGCTGTGAATAATTATTATTCATAAGTAGCACAAGATAGTTTCATTTAAAGATTTACAGTCTTTTCGCAAAAGGGCCAGATAGCATGCGTCTCAGGTCCTAAAGTCTCTTATGTAACAGCAATTTAAGAAGAATTTTACCAAACCGTAGAGTAAAATGATGAGGTGCGTAATTAGTCTGGTAAAACAATGGTTTCAAATAGCAATGTGGGTCAGGCGCTTGGGATATCTTACCCTTATGAGTTCAGATGAATCTCTTGAACGACATCAACTTTGGGGCTGTTCAAAGAAACAAATCAAATTAGAATTTCCATTCAGCCAAGTTATGTCATAACTAAGTTTCATTGATTTTAGCTTTAAGTTTAGCGAATACTAACGCGAACACATTACCAAATTATACTTCTTGTAAAACAGTAACCCAGGAACAAAGCTGAATTATAGTATATACGGTGCATGAACTATTTCTTTTTAGTTTTTGACGATGAAAGAAGGGACCACCAACTCAGCAAAGGTACTGACTATGTCGTCTGTGGATGATGAATTATTGTGCATACTTACATCAAAGCCCACAGCCTAGGGATGGTCAAATACTAGAAGCAGCCACCACACAAAAATTGGAAGAGGGACAATGAGAAAAGAGTATTTTGAACAATTTATTTCCCCGCCTTTCGGAAGCACGTAACCCCCCCCCAAATGTAGCTTCTCCCCTCAGAAAGTAAAAAAAACCCAAAACAAATTTGGCCCCCAAAAATGGTTCTATAGATCCGCCCTCGAGCCTACCGTATTTTCTTGACGGCCACAAATATTCCAGTCACCCCAAGAATCAGCACCAAGGATGAAACGACGATGATGAGAGCCAGCTGCCACTTTTCCAGGCCAGGATCTGGGCAGAATTAAATAAACTATGTGTTGCTAGCTCTATGAATGAACAATGTGATTGTATCAGTCAATTTTGGCAAACCTATCCGGTGCTGTACAACGTGAGCTGAGTTTGGCATCGAAAAATTGCATACGGCGTTATTCTAGACGGATTAGAATTTTCAACCATCTACACATTAGGAAGTGCTCGGAAAACGTGGCTTCTACTTTTTACTTAAAATTTGAGAAATTTCAAACTTGGCAACTTTGGTAGGCTTTCAAGTCGCTGACATGGTAGTCGCATATTCCAATCATGGAAGATCACTTTTGTTTATTGTTTACAGTTTTGAACTTCGGAGACCTAAACCACCAAAGCATCTTGTATTTTATTTTTTTTAATGGTATTTACTACCCTGGTGGTTTAGAAAATTTAACCGGTCCTTTCAAGAAGCGTCGGGATCAGAATTGCGGAACACAAGTCTAAAACCACCTCTAATGATTTATTTACCTCAAGTGCTTACCTTCTTTTCCAAAGTGTAGCTGCACGGCTTTATAACAAAATCACTGGATTAGACTTTCACCAAATTAACATGGATACCAACGTTTAAAACGATGAGAAATCCTATTCCCCTCACCTACACTCCACCATCCTCATTCTGTCCCTCTCAACAAACTGACATGAACAATGATGACAAGTATGTAGAAGTGAAAGGGTTCATTTGATCAAGTGAAGGTGTTCCTGTTATAGTATTGTCCTACCTGAAGGCGATTTAGCAGTAGACCTGCATGTTGGTACTTTTCCGCTCCATTGTCCATCCTCTTGACACACCAGTTCACTTTCTCCTTGTAAGGTGTATCCCTTGTCACAAGAGAAGACAGCTTCACCGCCAACACTGCTGCGAGACACCTCTTTCCTGCCATTAGGAGGCACGTCAAGGGTACCACATATCACTGTAAACAGATAAGAAAGAAACTAGCTGTAGTTTAGTTCGACATAAAACAGTGCTTAGCAGTCTGGCAACAGACTACACTTCTCCCAATTGAGGGCGCCATGTGAATGATATAAATAACAATTCAATAGTGTCACATTGGTGCAGTGATGAACATTATCGGGCATGATTTCAATACCTAGTTCTGCACTTTCAATGGCAGTTTTGTAGCTGGCAACTGCTCCCCTTGTAGCCCTGGCGATGTTTTCATCGCCTGTCACAGCGTAGTCGAAGGCACAGCGGGTGTCGTTTCCGCATATCTCTAAAACGTTCTCGTCAATGGGATCACTCTCTGACCAAAAGACCGGTATGAAGGACTCATCTCTGTAATCCGATGGACCCTTCCCTGCTGGGTATCTGAACAAGGAATCCTCTTGCTCTATTTGCCCTGTTAAAGGTGATTGAATAAGAACATTCCCTGCCAGTAATGTTTAATTGTTCCCCTATGAATTCTCTTTGCTTATTCTAAATTAAACATTGGTGCCTAAATGTGTTTCTGAGATTCAAACCATGCTGAAAAATATACAAAAAATACCATCTCCTTGCAATGGATGAACTCCGTGTAGAAAAACCAAACGGTGTACTCTTTACGTAGCAAGGGCATATCACGAGTGTACCCGGCAAGATATGAGACGATCTAATGTTTCCAATTGCCAAACTAATGCTGTGCGAAACCGAAACCGAAATCGACCCGGCCCCAAATCGACTTCGGTCGGTCGATTTTTCCCTGATTTCTTGTAAGTTTCGGTTCACATTCGGTTTACGTCTGTATTGTTTCGGTTGGATTTGACCTAGTGAACCAAATCCAACGCACATCATTAGTCCAAACGCTATAGACACTCATAGATTATTGTTACCTAACATATCGCCCCCCCTATCTGAAACGAATTCCTAAGATTCCGGTACAAAAAGGCCAAAAGGGGGGTCTCTCAGTCCTATATCTTGGTTCAAATGCTCAGGAGCAAAGTTCATTATATCTACATGTGTTTTTACATATGATTCAACTCCAATAAAAAAAGATCTTCGTATTAATTTCTATTCACTAAAGTCACATGCTTCCGTATTCAACATTCTTTTCCCCAGGGTGCTGAGTCAAGATAATTGTTTTAAGTCGTAAAGTAGTTGTTCCAGTTGGTGGCATGCTCTTTGTAATAGCACATTCTCTCATGGGTGCTGGGTCATGATCATTGTTATAAATAATCACTGCACATTGAGTTTATAAAGGCCCACGTTGGGTAGTGCATGGTCGAAGCATTTCGAAGAACTCTCTGGCTGGGGACAATTCTGTAGCTCTGCTGGCGGCTTTTCGTCATTTTTGTATAATTAAGTCTCGCCAGAAGAAGCTTGCTGAAGCCAGTTTTTATTTGTAAAAAGTTGCCGCCGTCAATCTGCTTTTTCAACGAAATTTACGTTAGTTTATTTTTTCTTATGCTCAATTCTTAAATAAGAGGTCATGTTTTGGAGACCTAGTCCAGCCAATTCCATATCGTCTTCTGTTTTTTTTTTTTTTTTTTTTTTTTGGGCTATATATCCAGGAGAATTAAATTTATTAGTTTCCTTTTTTGATGTGTTATGGAGACCAAAATATGATTCTGCCAGGTTTGATTTGTTTCCTTGAATTTGTGCTCTTTCCAGATTGGTGGGCGTTGGCCCCATAAGGGGGTCCCCATTGCAATATCAAGAGTCAACAGTCATACACTAAGCCGCGACATGCGGTGACTCACACTTTTGACAGAATTTATAGTGTATCTCCTCTGCCGTTGCACTGATCGGAAGCATCGTGCCGTTGGGTCTCTCAAAGTCATCATTCTTGTCTCCATTCCAGTTGCCGTACAGTCCTCTGGTTCGTCCCTTCAGTTTTTCCTGCAGCGCGGTGAACACGTTGAGCAACCCAGACGCGGTGGACACGACTAAGGACACTCCACATTTAAAATTTACGTGAATGTTCTTGGCCATGACGCCTGAGTTGTTTACCTCCCGGTAGAGAACCGTCACGCCTGTAATACAAAACTATCCATCTAAGTAATTGCCTGCAACTTTCATGTACTGACGAGTCGACTGCAATCGAGGACTTACTCATACTCATTAGTGCAGTTGCATAACATTTCAGCTATCAACCCCTTGAAAATTGTCACAGTAAAGTAACATTCACATAGTCACAACCTTCGGGGCAAAGACGTTGGAACGTCTGCATGTTGGGACGTCCGAAAGACTCAAAATGCATCTGTGTCAGAATTCGTATTTCGCTGAGTCGTCAGTATCAGGTCCTCTAACTTTTAAAGATTCACTCACTGACTGAGCACTTTGATGACTTCCCTCAAAACAATTTTGGTGAGTTATTATCTTACTCCAGCTTACCACCGTATGTACGATGGGGGACGCGCTAATCTCTCGCAAAGCATTCTGGGTAGCTTACCACCTAAGGTAGTGTCTGAAACGGGCCACCATAGCTACAGCTTGGCCTATGTTGTTAGCACATATTTACGTATAGGCTATTTTCAAGGTTCTGCTGAAGGTCTAGACCCAACTCTAAACACAAGTATCGGACGCAGCTGTAATCAGTGCACGTACGTTCCAAGCACACGTATCACACACACACAAAAGGTGCGTTCGAGCGAGATACTAGCGTCAACCCGAGTATACTCCTGGCGCTCGACCGGCCCAGCCCATTGGAAATGTATAACAAATTCCCGCGAAGGAAGTACGGCGGGCGTGCGAGTAATAATTATAATCCTTTTCCAGTGCGGGCACCACAGAGTGCTGTCTCGAAGGCCAAGTCCACGGTCGCACACCTGCCTGGCATTCGGGGAATTGGAGGATTCAGGGAATTTGAAGATTTTTAGAAATTGATGAATTTTAGGGATTTGGGGGGAATTATAGGAATTTTAGGAATAAAAGATTTGAATTATAATTAACTGTGATCAAACCTAGATATTTGAACCCCCAAAGTTGACATGTAAATAAATCTTTGTTTAATTGAGACAGTTATATTTGGACTCTTCCTACCCGTCCAGTTGTTTTGAAGTTGCACCCATTTTCAACTGTATTTGTTAGCTATTCCCCTCTCAAATGGAAGCCCGAACAACCAGGGAGTTGATTCAGAAAATGATTTACACAATCTCACAATTTTGGGGGCCAATTTCACCTTTTTCAAAAGAAAGGGTGGGGCACTGTTTATGCTAACAAGCTGACAAGAATTCTCATTTAAATTCGTGGACAGCACCCATAATGCTGATCCTGAAGCACTCACCCTCCAACTCGGCCCGTCTGATTTGCGTCTCCTCAAAATCGACTATCGACCACCCGCTCTCGTTCCCTCGTGAGCGGAACCACACATCAATGCCGCGTCGCTCACTGACTTCAATGTGGACTTGGTCGGATTCGTTTCTGTGAACTGCCGCCAGAGCTGTGATGACTGTTGCGTTCTGACCTGAAACAGTATGAAATGTAAAAGGTATCCATGAGAATGTCACCTACGTGTAATGCCGAGCCATAGCTATTATATTCCCAGTTAATTGTTCGACGGGAGAGCCGAATCCCATCAGCAGTCATCCGTTGTTATCGCGGCTGATGATCTGTAAGAACGATCTCGCCGAGGTACGAACTGCCAGTCCCTGCAGGCCGCAGGACCTCTACAAAGCACAATATGACTATGTTCCCCATTACCCCGTTCCTTTTTCAATAATAGACTTCGGTGGCACTATTAGGAATCATTAAGGCTGCTGTCCGAATGTCTGGCTGCGGCCGGCATTTGGATACACGTGTATGCAAAAAAAGACATATCGGCATATATTCTAGTACGACCACAGCAATCTTTTCGGATGCAGGCTGGTTACTAAATTTCTCTTCATCGAATGGATTTACCTGGCTGCAGCACGGCCATTCTCGCTTGGAGCTCCAGCATACTATCACAGGTCTCCAGCAAGGTGTATTCACCCACGCCGTTAAAGGTGTATTCTATTCTGTCCAAGGTAAACAGATGGGGATCCCCAGTTCCAATTGCTGTAAAAGTTTGAGCAAAGACGGGGACCGTGAAATCCTAAAGGGAGGGTTGAGTAGGTCAAAGGCTACAGCTCTGTTTACTTCCCAACCGCTATAATGTTATCTAAACTGCAAGCAGGCATGTACACGTATAAGGTATCATCTGTTTCCTTGCTGCACAATCTAAATACTAAAGGTTGCTTACCAGGTCGGGGTGGCTCGTAGTTTTCGCAGGTCTGAGAAGGCCGCATCAATTTGTACATCCGACAAAACAACTCCGAGAACATACAGCAGTGCTCCAATGGAAGAATATCCGCTAACCAATGAGAGAGGTAAGGAACACGGCCAGCTACCTGGACAGGAAGATTATTTTATCGAACTGACCGGAAAGAATCAACTTTAAGCAGTATTTGAAAAAGAAATATAGTGAAGCAACAAAGTAATTTCGTAAGTCGCTAGTCAACTCTCATTTCATGATTATTACTTTATATGGTGCAACGCCCCCGTGATGTCTTCGCTGAGCAAAACCACCGCCTGTACTCTTTAACACGTCCAGAATATTGTTGTCGTTGCCATAGCAACACTCTTGCCCACTTCCCAGCTCACTGTAAAAAAGAAGCAACGAAAGCGTGGATGATCTCCGTTTGTGTAAAATGGAAGTTTAGATTTGTTTTATTTAAAACTTTACAAACATGCTGAGGAAATTACATCCAAAATTTTCAAAAATTACCAATTAATTTGCCACTATTTACTTTCTGCTTTACTGATTATTAGGAGCCTGTAAACAGTCTTGGCTAATGCCAGTTGTCCCACATGACATACCGCTTAGGGAAACGGATGTTGAGATTATCCTTGGACTTCCATCGCACACGTACCATAGTCGAATACATTTCGGACAACATAAGAAACCCATTATCTTATTGCCGCCTACGTTCCTTGATGGATGTGAAAATCCCAGAGGTTGACGTGGAGAATCACTGCACTAACCTTGCGGTGTCGACCCTGACACAGTGAACGGCACCGGGCTTCGACACCTCGCAACTCTCTGGGGAATTGCAGAGAGGGTGATCGCTGAACCGGCCTGTGTCTACCAGAGCCTGGGTCAGCGTGCACGGGCAAGGCTCGGTTACTGCAAGGAACTCCAGGTCCAGCTGGGCCTCCTCCAACCAATTCCCACACCATGCTGAAGGGTCAGGAACTGGGTAGAGCCAGTGGAGGTTATGGATGTCGCTCCACATCCCCGGCAGGTTCCTTGAAAAAATCAGAGGCAGCAGTGGCAGTCATTTTTGTCAATATTATTCCACTATCAAACATCTGAATTTGAGTTCAACTCAATTTGAAACTTTTTCTGTGTTTGCCGGCCAAAACATTACATCCACAGTTCACAATGCCAAAAAGATGACTCATGAAATTATAACATTATCAGATTGGAACTAAAGGAACTAAAACGAAGGCTAACAGTGAAGTTAGCCACAAAAAATGGTTCGAATTGACCAACAGTCCCAAGCTCTGTATTCTTCCAAAAGAAACTCATAAGGTTAGGAAGGTTGTCCTTGTGACTTATACTGCGTACTCTCGCCACTCAGTGGTCGGGCAAGCAACGCATCTACCAAACTTACTTCGCCACTTCATCTTGTCCTACATACTGGGACACGCGGATGGCCCCGACTGTATACTGGGCTCCATTAGGTGCACGTGGACGAATGAAGCTGAACTGCCCGGCGCTGTAAGGCACAGATTGCTCCTCGGCGACACCGTACAGGGCGTACACAAATGGGAACTTCAGTTCTCCTGTGAGTAAATTCTCTTCGTAGGCATAGACAGAGACCCGAACATCGTCCACATAGCCTTGTAATAGCTCAGTATTCCATGTGACGGTCAGTACTTCCTGGTTCAGCCAATCTGCAGCATCTTGTTGTTTGACAAGCGGAGTCGTATCCTCGGGACTTACTGTGGAAGTAACATGCAGAGGATAAAGGGGTTATGATGACAGAAATGTGCCTTTTTATTATTTAGAACAAGTTAAGCACTTGGTATGGTGTTAAGCAGCATACATGTACAATTTCTCAGTAGTCGACAATGCTACATACGGTACGTAAAAAGCCCTGTGAAATTGAAGAATTCTCCGCCATCGGTTGACATCTCCAGCGGCAGACGACCGACTTCAAATACCAACGGGCTGACGCATCTGGCTGTGGTGTTGGATATTACTTCTCCAGGTACTTCGACACCGGCGAAGCGGCACACGATGTTGGAAGATGCGTCGAGACATGGCCCCGAAATGTGGACAATATCTCCGCCAAGCATCGAGGCAGAAACAGGAAAGACAGCCAGGCTTCCTATACATCGGGAGGAAAAGTTGCATGGTAAGATCTCAAGTTAATTTGTACTGCAAATAATCGTGAATTGCAATCAGTTTTTTACATCCTTATAAATGATCTTTTTCTACCTTCTGAGTTGCAACCAGAATCAACGATATCGCCACTGTCAATCCGAAAAAGAAAGCGCCCAGTAGTGCCGACATTTGAATCTTCGTCGATGTCCACGATCTCGTCTGTTCGGGATTTGGGAACAGCGTAGAAGGTGAAGCCATCACCGGCGTTGAACCCAACCTATATTAGCAAAAGAAAATATGGCTCTTCTTTCGTTTGGATATCAGAGGTGCTGATACCATTAGCATAATTTCTCCCTTTCTCACGGTCCATAAACATGTATTGAGAGTGCAGAGTAAGAAATAGATTAATGCGTATCAGATACTTTCAAGGCAGAAAAACATATACATGTATTGAGAGTGCAGAGTAAAAAATAGATTAATGCGTATCAGATACCTTCAAGGCAGAAAAACATATACATGTATCTGCACTAAAACCCCAAGATATGCCGGTTTGCTCTCCAATCAGAATGGAGCACAATCTATGAACATCCTTGCCGACATTGACGACGATAGCAAAACATTTGTAAAACGATTGTAAAACACGTTGCTCGTTGCAAACTGTTTTTGTTTTCCAAGTGCTAAATGCACAAGGAACTTAGCTCTTACTTGAGCTGGAGTACCTCCAAGTCCATTTGAACTGTCCCCACCGCTTGCTGTGCCGGTCGTCCAACGAATTTCATCATAGTTGTAAACGGCGAATGAATGTCTCCCGTTGGTCACTAGCAAAGCCTGAAATGTGTTCGTCTGAAGAAAAAAGAGGGAATTCGAGGTCACATTAGTACCATCCTTAGAAAAATGACACCGGATGACTGTAAACACACACAATTTTCGTTATTTGTTCCACGGTGGATGCGTTAATTAACTGTTTTAGATTTTTTTTCATACCGCATTTAAAGTGTTAACACGTCGTGTTTTGTTGGGTCAAAGATTGCAAGAACTCGGCTATACTAAGTGGACCCACCATCAATCAACAATAAAACGGTTCAGTAATTATAATTGAATTGGGAGCCCACACCACACACAGTGGAGCTATAAAGACCTTCTTTGGGAAACAACACTTACAAAAGAGACAAGGTCACAAAATTTCAACCAGCAACTCCTTTGTATAAAAACAATTGACAAAAAATACACGTGGCCACGGCCGACGCCTTTATAAGCTATGGACCTTATGTATGCGAACCCGTTGACGTGTGGGCATGTGCCACAATTTTTACCAGGGCAGTAAAACAATCGGTAAAATGAATTAAACTACTGATGCCTGAACCCAAGAGCTGTGCCTTCCTGTGTATTATATGAACGTCATAAATAAATTGCACGTTTGAAGAATTTGAGGGGAAAAACCGCCCACAGCAGCTTTTTGACATAAGAAAATCCGACGTTAACTTGGTATATACTAGTATTAAAAACACCTGTTATGGGTGCTCTGTTGATGATTAAAAACGTGTTCTGCCCTTTCTGCTCGGCGTTTAAACGCGACATTGCAGCTACCAAACGATACAGTAGTTGTGTTCAAACTAGTCTTAGTACTGTATGAAGCACACCGGTCTTTCCTTAAGTGTTCTGTCAATTTTTTTTCAGAGTTTGTGCTTACTATGTCAAGGGCTTCAGCAAGGGCTCCGTAGAAAGGCACTTCATGCCAAGTGGTGATGAACATCCAGGATGCTGAAAACTTAGACTGGTCGATAAAGCCACGTCTAATGATACTATCGGCCTTGTTAAACAATTGTTCATTGCTTGGCGTGCGATGAAGCTCACGATGGGCCACGTTCCCCCCAAACCTGATATCCACATCACCCCAGAATGCTGCCACCACTCGCCTGTCTCCATCCAGTGGGAATGGCGAAGGAGTAAACTGTGACACTTGGATGAGGAAGGATATAACGCCGTTGGTATTAACCTAAAAAGATTTCAGACCAAATAATTACTTGCAATCCAATGTACAATTATATCTAGTAGTTTGAAACTTCATAGAAGGCAGACAATTGCGGCAAAAAATAACAGAAATGAAAGAGACACGTTGCAAGGAAAAATGTGAAGAAAGTTATATCGAAACGGATGCAAATTTTCTGCCGAAAGGAAAACACTTCAGTTAATGAAAGGCCAAAGACGTTGGTTGGAGTATAATTTAAATCAAAGCATTACATGCAACTCGAAATCAAAAGAACGTCGCAAAATAATTACTCTGCGGAATATAGGGATGATTTTTTTTGAAATTGGTCAAAAATACGAAACTGGAGTATTAAAAGTATAAGATAAATGCACCGAATAATATTTCATGTAAGTATTCCTAAATTGATTCAATTCCCATACTCCCGAATTAATATTGCTTTTAGCCTTTCTATGATTGATTCAAACAGTGTGAAATCCTTTAACAGGCAAGCAAAGCCCTGACAAAGTGCCTGGTCGTAGGCCCACTCTGCAACCATTAAATTAGGCCTGCTACTTACAAAGAGAGTGTCGTGGTTGTGATCGAAGAATGGGAAAGGGATAGAAATCGGAATCTCTCCAGAGCTTCCATCGTCGTTTGGTGCAAGAAATACATCTCCTTCTTCAGCACCAAATGGGAAAAGAAGCTCTGTTTAATCAAAGAAAAAAGTGACAACATTAGTTTAATACCTCCGGGCCCACTTGCTGTACCGCGGACTGGGATTTTCATCAAATAATTCTGTTTGTTTGTTGGTTGGTTGGTCGGTCGGTCGGTTGGTTGGTTTGTCCTCATTTCGGAATTTTGAATTATTATCCAGTTAACAACGTCCCGATGTTGCACTTCGCCCACTTCTGCCATCCATATATATGCCAGTGTCATAATTTTCCTTTTTAAGAATCCATTTGATAACTTTTACTGGCTCGCATTTTGGGCATTGTTAACCTGTTTTGCAAAGCATGAGAACAGTTTCAAAATCTATTTTGAGTTAAATTGACTGACAACGGAATTTTTAAAACATAATTGCCCAATTAGCTTTTCTGGACTGGTGACGGTGCTGGTCGTGTGACCAAAATTAAAGGCAGATGCTGTTCAGTTGACATGTTTCCATGTTCCAATTTTGAACCTCAAATTTGATTTTCAAAAGATTTCACGAAAAAGATTGCCTGCTGGATTTACTGCTACTTACTTGTACAACAATAGGTTGCAAAAGAAATGAAAATTTAACATAAGAAATCGTAAAAATCAAACTGTTCACTGCCTTGGACAACATCACAGTTTGCTTATGAATATGCAGATTTATATTGACTTAAACCCAATAAAGCCCCCAAATTAGATAAAAAAGTAAAACAAAAAATTCAAATAAGGTTAATTGAAACACTGTGAAATTTTAAAGGCTGTAAGAAAATAATTGTATTTTGTGGTTCCTTCAAAATCTCCAACCCTTTGCAATCTGTCACTTTGCAACATAGCCTGACAGTTTATAACATCCCAGCCTGACACTTTATAACATCCCTGGCCCCTAGTATATACATAACTCATACCCTTCTCAAGAATTAAGTTGGGTTTCCCTGCCACAATGTCGTACTCTTTCCAGCCTGTGACCCTCCTTCGAAATGAATCCCTATGCTTCATCAAAATTGTGAATTATCAGGAAGAGATGGGTATAAACTACAGCTCATTAATATCAGCCGCCCAAATAGAGAAAGACGCAATTCCTACTTTATAGTCTTGTACAATTTTATTTACGCTAAATATATGTGCACATCGTACAAAACCTATCAAAAATTATTGTTTGATGGGGCAGCATTTCAGTTTTTACCGGGGAATGACTGTACACGGGATTGAACTTGTAATAAATCAATTTTATGCGTTTCTGAGGGGCGGTGAGATATCGGGGGGTTATGCTTTTGAGAGGAAGAGAAATAAAAAAGCCGCCCAAAATTGCCTGTTTCTCCTTGTACTTAAAAAACAGTTCCTGGATCCGCGAATAAAGGTTTAAGGCTCAGCAATAATTATGATACTTTGGGAGCCAGCACGTTCTTATACACTCTCGTGACAATTCTGTCAACTTGCCAACGGATGATTTGCGAGTCGTTTCTTCGAGGGTTTCTGCTCTGTGTAGCGTTACCTTACCAACTTGATTGGGGCAAATATACAACTTAAGTCAACTATTTCACAATAATACATTCCATTCTAGTGACTAGTTGATACTTGAGTGTATTCATCGATGTACCTCTCCAGATCAGCAAATATTCCTTGACGTATTAAAATAAAAAATCCTCATTAAAAGTACAATGGATGAATCTTCATTTACAAATAGCACAACGCCAATGGTCTTATACCGCTGCTTACACTGCAAGGTGTATTGGATAAATAACGGTGCGAGATAGCACTAGTCAAGTGCTTGTAATCCAGTTATGTGAGTTATCTTACAAGGTAGGGCTACGCCTGTTGATTTGAATTGAAGTTCGTGGACAAACCATGACAGTTGGGCTGCTTGTCATCAAGTGTGACATGTCCTATTCATTTTATTATCGCTGACTTAACACTTTTATTATCACTTGAATACACAGAATCTGATAATGCAGATAATTCGCAGACAGAAACCGTGACGCTTTAACCCAGACGCTTCGGTAATCTGGATTTCATTTTTTATATCATAGAGTCTGAAAGAAGAAGGTCACGCAGCGAGCTTCCGGAACCCGCGCTTGGTCTGCCTACGGGGGATTTTACATTGGGCCTTCCTATCACGTTCGATAATTTTTGGAAAAATAATTCCTAACTCAAACCGCCCCATGAAACACTCGTGTTGGAAATTTATTTTTGTCTTCGTCAAATAACATTTAGGAAAAGTCATCTGGAGATGGGTAAAAAACAAATTTCAGGAACGACCTTCCACGCCCGGCGATATCGTACCTAGGTCTCCTTGTTTATGCGAGTTTGTTTTCATTCCCTGCGCTCTCGTGAAAACGGGATTGTTCAACGTTGCAAAGATTTACCTACCTGCGTCGATGGGTTCCAGATTCCGTTGAGTTGACATCACGCAGTTCTTGTTAGCAAAGGATACCCGGTAGATAAATATTAGAATTTTTCGTAAAAGTAGAATATTGCTTTGTTTATTACCTTATACATTATAAAGGTGTGTCAAATATTTTGATGTATTTTTATTTCGGATTTTACTGACGACTACCATAAAATTTCAAACCGTAAATGTTCATCTGCGTACGAGACTGCCGCATTGCACTGTTATTCGTGTATTTTAGATTTTCGGAAATGATGAGTCAATCTTGGCAGGATATTTCCCTTTTGATTTAAAGAAGTTACTGAACGAAAAATATTACAAATTCTAAAATCTTTGCGCTTTATTTTTCGTATCCAAGGGTTCCGGAAGCGCGCCATCAGGGGTCAACTTTCAGGCTCTATTGAATGAACCAATGAGAAAGGACAACTCATGATTATTCGTCACAGGTTTCACGAAGAGAGCAGTTTCTCGCAGGAGAGTAAAACTTTACTTTCGAGAAAAGCGCATTTGAAGTTGGTCTCTTTTACAAACGTTTAATTTCCCATATACGCATGCATGTACGGAGCTCTGGAAGTGCCATCCGACTTGTTGAGATCCTGACATGTTTTTCTTGGAATGACGACATAATAAATGCAAGATGTCGACATCCTGAGAAAATTTATCACAGGATGACGACGTGGTAAACGTTGGATGATAACATCTGCAGAAAATGACGATAATCATCAGCTCAGGATGTTATATCATCCAGACACATCAACCAAGTGTGATGTCTACTTGACAACTTGTAACAGGCGGTGAGACGTGATCTAAATAATATCACGTACGGCAACAGGACAATGCTTTGAAAACTCTGCCATCTCAGGCCACCTGTTTTCGATGTGGTTTGTCAAGGCACCTATTGACAAATAATGTCATCATGTCACTTTTACGATGTTGTCATCCTATGATAAAGTATCTCAGGATGTCGACATCTTACCTCTACGATGTTGTCATCCGAAAAAAAGTATTGCAGGATCTCAACAAGTTGGATGGCACATAAGGCAATCAAAATAGTTTATTGTGTAAACAAATAAATGGGTTCGTCATTTCGTGAAAACGCTAAAATTCGTTTGGCTTCGTCTCTTTGTGAAAACGGCACACACATTTCACACTTTAACTGCGCTGCAAAGGGCCTATTTTTTCTGCTCGTTGCACCAAGGTGATCACTTCGAGATCACTTCGTTATAACCCTCTTCCTAAATCCACAATCCCTCGTACTGGCATTTAAATTGATCAGAGGGTGTCCCTAGTGCCTACAAATAAAAAAAACGCGCAAAAAAGTCTGAGTACGGTCACGGTACCCTTTTCCAGTCAAGGTGGGGGTCCCACGACAGTCAACACAAATTTGACGTCCCCCAACACAATTAAACTACTCAGATAGCTGTCTAGACAGCTCAGAGGCACATCAGAGAGACCGTCAATTGATTTAAGACAGGCCCAGGCTTGCCCACGCACTGTCTTTGTCAATAATCCCTTATCAGCACTGGGCTGAGATATTTACATACAATCCCTATTTGACTTGACTGGAGGCTGACTCTGGAAAAGAATTACTCAACTCAGGGAAGTCCCACGTTAAAGGTGACTAAACTAGGCTGTTCAGCATGCACAGAGGTACAAAGTAACAGGAGGTTTTTGCATTTGGCCGAAAAAATTTAATTACGTAATTAGAACAAATTGGATCCCGCGTGTATCAACTCCGCTGCAGGTATGGTTTTAATTGCCATAGCGCGTGCCAGGTGCAAAAGTTGTAGCATTTCCGGAGTCAAAATTCGTCTGCAAAACGAGACATTCCTGTGGTTTTGCCCTTTTTGACAACGTTATATCTGTGGAAGACAAAAAGGTCTTTTCTAGAACACAAAAATGTGGTTTAAATGAATTTTGCCCCACAGAGCTCATCGTTATTTGGCTGGTCTCAGTAGATTTGGTAAAAAAATTATTACACCAAGTTATACGCATCTCACATAGCCTAATTGATTTCGAGAAAAATGACAAAACATTATGATTTTCGACCGATATGTCTCTTTGTGATGGAAACAGTGATAGTACGCATGCACGTAAGGACATTCACGACATGATTTGGCACCTTCAGCCATTGCCAACACTTTCCGAAAAGAAGCTTTACTTCTGTTTTTGAGGCTCGAGTCTTATTAACTTTCACTCGAGTCGAGTCCTCTGATGAGCGTCTTAAGTCGATTGTAGTAATTTTCTCGCAGTGAGTCAAGTTATTTGCCCGTTGGTTCTCAAAACGAGTCGGGTCGCTAAAAAATGTTGATTGAGTCGAGTCTGTGACTTCAGTTTTAACTCTGTTATCGGGAGTGTAAACGTGTGAAAAGCACCGACTATTTAAAAACCACAGGCTGTTGACTCCTCGTTGTCTTGAGAAGACCCTAGACACCAATCCATCTCAGACAAGTTAACCGTTTGGTCTTTGACAAAAACAACCACCTTTTTCTTCAACTTATGACAGTTGCACAAAAAGTAAAACGTCAGTGGTCCCAAAGTAAGTCCAAAATGGAAATCGCTTTGAGTTTGCCTCCATTTTTTAAACCAGCAGAATCAAGTGCTTGGTGGTTGACAAAACAAAGGAAGTTTTGTCAAATGCCTCACGAGTGGAAAACATTATGAGCAGTTCGAGTGCACGATTCATTTTTACAACAATGTCAAAAACGAATTGTAAAAATGAGCCAAGAGTCACGTAGAAATTAGTAGGGCCTAATCATTTGTAAAACAAGTTTTTGATGAGGGACAGTGTCAAATCAATGCAACTAAACTGAACAATGATTTTAATCATTTTATTTACACCCTTCAATGCCTTAATTTTAATTTCAATCTAAGTAATGTCAGTTCTTACCGTTGCCATTGGTGACAGCAATCAGACAACCGATCAGAAACAAGCCCACATCTACGCGCTTGAAAAGATTTGTACCAAGCATAGTGGATTCCATTCTGCTACTGACGCTTCGTCCGAGATACATGTAACTAAATAGCCAGTCCTTGAACTGAGGGTATTATATGTTTCCTATGCGAATGTATTTGAGTAGGATCCACAGTTGACTCGGGTTCAACCTCGTCCTCGCGGTCTTGCTCGTTTTTACAGCTCACCCTTTGGGACTGGAGCTACTCAAATTCACTCACTGTTCAATGGTAAGAGTTGAGTAAACAAAGATTTTACAATACGCCATGATAAAACCGTGTACTTTGATTCCGAACTTATATAATGTAGTAGTATATATAGGAGAGTTCGGGATCAGCCACCTTAATTTTTTCGCTCTGCTTCCACGGTCCAACGCACACAGACCTATTTACACAAACGCCGGGGCTTCCTCACAAAAACATGGAAATTTGACCCCGCTGCTTTTCAAAAACAATTTGAGGCTCTACTTGGGAATTCCCATCGCTTTCCCAACCGCTACAAGTCTCGACTTGCCCGGCCTATACGGGCTCTGTTTTAGGTAAAATGCGCTATATTTACGACCTCCTTAAATAAATGGGCTATTAATAAAAAAGCATGTCAAGTCAAGTCGCGAGAAAAAAAGAGATTAAATTTAAAAACCTATATATAAACAGAGAGATACGATCAGCCCCAAATCAAGACCACTATTTTCGACCTTCAACCGATTTAAGAAATCATTTTTAGCAAATTTTGTCAAGCAGTATAACATTCCATTACAACCACCAAATCGTAAATTTCACACCAAACCTGAACTTGTTCAAGCCATTCGAACGAACCAAAAGCAAATCAGGTACCTCCCGCGTCAATCATATCGCCAGCTCTTAAAAACGGTTCAAGAGAACAATATTCCATTTACACACATGGGCAGAGTCCTAAAGCAAGATCTCATCAAAGCCGTTAACAATTACACCCAACCCAAGGAAACTGCAGAAGTTGATATTAGAAAGGTGAGACGCTTTCAGGTAACTACCGCAACTGGGAGCTAATACCCAGCTTCTTTGAATACGATCTTGTACACTTTTTTGATTTTTACAAGACTTTCATCGAGAAGAAAGCATTAGACGAATTTTGAGAAATTTGGTCTTATAAACTTCAAACCACCCTCAAAGTACAGTTCAAATTGGAGAAACCCGACAAGACCGAGTTGGGCACATTTACCTTCCCGAGCCAAAATAAAGTGGTCGTAAGTAAAAGTGACATTAAAAATGTACTCGCCGAGCAAAGGCAGAAACAGATTGAGGACGTGGAGGCTCACACGCAACGCGGATCAGGGTGGGTCTTTTATAAAGTGGTTGCTTTTTAAATTTAATTACATCATTAGAAAAAAAATTGGATCCCGAATGAATCAACTTCGCTGCAGGTAGGGTTTTAATTGCCATAGCGCGTGCCAGGTGCAAAAGTTGTAACATTTCTGGAGTCAAAATTCGTCTGCAAAACGAGACATTCCCATGGTTTTACGCTTTTTTTATATCTGTGGAAGACAAAAATGTCTTTTCTAGAACACGAAAATGTGGTTTAGCTGAATTTTGCCCCACAGAGATCATCGTTATTTTGCTGATCTCAGTAGATTTTGTAAAAACAAATTATTACACCAAGTTGTAGGCATCTCACATAGCTTAATTGATTTCGAGAAAAACGACAAAACAGTATGATTTTCGGCCGATATGTCTCTTTGTGATGGAAACAGTGATAGTACGCATGCACATAAGGACATTCACGACATGATTTGGCACCTTCAGCCATTGCCAACACTTTCCGAAAAGAAGCTTTACTTCTGTTTTTGAGGCTCAAGTCTTATTAACTTTCACTCGAGTCGAGTCCTCTGATGAGCGTCTTAAGTCGATTGTAGTAATTTTCTTGCAGTGAGTCAAGTTATTTGCCCGTTGGTTCTCAAAATGAGTCGGGTCGCTAAAAATGTTGATTGAGTCGAGTCTGTGACTTCAGTTTTAGCTCTGTTATCGGGAGTGTAAACGTGTGAAAGGCACCGACTATTTAAAAACCACAGGCTTTTGACTCCTCGTCTTGAGAAGACCCTAGACACCAATCCATCTCAGACAAGTTAACCGTTTGGTCTTTGACAATAACAACCATCTTTTTCTCCAACTTATGACAGTTGCACAAAAAGTAAAACGTCAGTGGTCCCAAAGTAAGTCCAAAATGGAATCGCTTTGAGTTTGCCTCCATTTTTTAAACCAGCAGAATCAAGTGCTTGGTGGTTGACAAAACAAAGGAGGTTTTGTCAAATGCCTCACGAGTGGAAAATATTTTGAGCCATGAGCCACGATCCATTTTTACAACACTGTCGAAAACGAATTGTAAAAATGAGCCAAAAGTCACGTAGAAATTAGTAGGGCCTAATCATTTGTAAAACAAGTTTTTGATGAGGGACAGTGTCAAATCAATGCAACAAAACTGAATGATGATTTTAATCATATTAAATACACCCCTCAATGCCTTAATTTTAATTTCAATCTGAGTAATGTCAGTTCTTACCGTTGCCATTGGTGACAGCAATCAGACAACCGATCAGAAACAAGCCCACATCGACGCGCTTGAAAAGATTTGCACCAAGCATAGTGGATTCCATTCTGCTACCGACGCTTCGTCCGAGATACATGTAACTAAATAGCCAGTCCTGGAACTGAGGGTATTATATGTTTCCTATGCGAATGTATTTGAGTAGGATCCACAGTTGACTCGGGTTCAACCTCGTCCTCGCGGTCTGGCTCGTTTTTACAGCACGCGTACGCAAAGCCATCCCTCTGTCAGGCCTGCTTGCCCTTTGAAAAGCTTCTCGAATTCACTCGCTGTTCAATGATAAGAGTTGAGTAAACAAAGATTTTACAATACGCCATGATAAAACCATGTACTTTGATTCCGGACTTACATACTGTAGTTATACGCACTCAGTGCAAGAATGAGGCTTGATCGCCTGTCTAATTCAACCTTGCACGCTAAACCAATAAAGTAACTGGCCCCCCAACAAGCGAACCTCAATTGGATAGTGTGTTAAAATAAGTGGAAGCCCTTTTTCTTTTCATCTTTTAATTCATCCCTCATAGAAAGAAGAAAAGGGCTGTGTCCGTTTCAGTTCAATAAAATCGAGTAACTATAGCAATAAGCAATTGAGCAAACCAAAGTTGCAATGACTAGAGTCAAGGATTCTACTCCACCAAATTTTTGGTCTGGGAAGTACAGAAGGCGGGCACAATTCAAGAAGGTTTGGCTTCATCCTAACTCACGTGAAATCTTAATTTTATAATACGCAACCATTGTAGAAATTAATAAGTTTCAAATTGATGATTAAATGACTTCCAATTAATTAAATTTTTTCTCTTACAGTTTGGCTTGTTGGCATTTATGAGCTATTTCGGGAACAATATGTATTTTTCATTCAAACAACAGAAAATCTCCCCGCTGTGATTATACTCTTTTAAAAAACGAAAAAAGGAGGAAATAGGCTTTAATTTCATGTGGGTCTGAGAGACTTTCTTTTCAGGTTAGGCGGGGGGATATCAAGTTTGGCAACTTTCAGCAGCCTTTGCAACGCTTAACGGAAGATGAATAAGACAATTTCCAACTATTGGTGGCGTTCTTTACAAATATCATCCAGTCACAGTCGTACATATGTGCTGCTGCAGTGGTGCTTGCAGAGGCTTACTGTGCACATACTGTACATGCATATATACGTATGCATCATTGCGTGTGGCTCGCTTGTGTAATACACTAGAGCTACACAAGTAGTAAACTGAAGTTGAACAATCGAGAGCGAGGAAACGAAATTGCCTTTGACACATTCGAGTTCTGCTTACCATGTTCGCACGCAGTGTTGCTTTTTGAAGTGTTTACATGTACATGTATGCCTTGGTTATTTCACAGCGAATTGTGTAAGTGACATGCAGTGTTTCATTGGAGTAATGAGAAAAACTAATGTAACTCCTCATCAGTCATGTCAGTGACAAGCCTTGAGACTGCGTGTGGTGTAACCTAGCCAACTCGCCCCCTGGCCGAGTCACCCCCGACCAAGTCGTCCCCTCAGAGGAGAGTCCACTGGTTTGGACAATTAACTACATGTATATTTCCAAAGTAATAATAGGCCTAAGTGTCCTGGCAGAAGGTGGGATATTGAAGAGTTCACCTTAAGGGGATTATTGACAATTAGTCAATAAACTAAGCTTGTCAGAATTTGATGTCTGGCAAGCATCACTACCTTGACCTACAAGTATTTAAATCTCACTTTAAATATATTTTAAATGAAATGTTCTTTACTCTAAACTTCAAGCTGTGTTTGTTTTGTTTTTATTATAAGTTATTACCATTGTTATTATTTTAATGAAGAATTTTCCGTGCTGATATCTTGGCGACGTACACCGGGGGCCAAGCCAGAAAACAATGACGACACGATTTGGAGAAGTTCAATCCCACTCACATGCATTAAAAATATAAACTGGAGAAATCAACTTTCAACAGAATGTTAAAAAAATTAACAGAGCTCAAGGAAGAAGCTATCTAACCTTGAAAGGGAAACAATTTTGTGAGAAAAGAGAAAACAATATTACCACAAAAATAACATGATAATGTGGAAAAAGGAAAAATAACGAAGGGGCGACTTGATTAGGAGGCTAGTTTGCTAGGAGGCGAGTTTGCAAAGGGGTGAGTTGGTAAGGGGCGAGTTGGCAAAGGGGTGAGTTGGTAAGGGGCGAGTTGGCAAAGGGGTGAGTTGGTAAGGGGCGAGTTGACCTGAGTCCACCTTCAGCACCCTGTTCCTACAGTAGGCCACGAGAATGAAAGATTTAGATTTGCATCCAGAACATTTTGGAAAAGCATGAGACTTTATTTATTACATGTTAGATACTCAAGCTTGCTGTACCTTACTGAAACGTGGTTAAATTCATCCATCCCAGATGATTTGATAGATATAGATGGGTTTGACGTTCTCCAGCTAGACAGATCACCCAGTGCAACAAATAAATCAAAGGGAGGTGGTGTTGCTTTGTATGTGAACCAGGAATGGTGTCAAATGTATTTATTTTTAATTAAGAATGACAGTGTGACCTTGTAGCTGGCTACTGGTGTGGGTGGCGGGGTACTCTGTTGTGCCGAAAATGATGTGGGTCGTTATGCCCTAAATGATGTGACTGTATACTCAGCGACTCCTTCTTTTACTGTTTACAGTGTGATTCTGACAGGTGCCAAAATGAGGGCTTGGGCGGCTTTACAATCATAACATCTATGACATCACATTACATTGTAGCATGAGTCCTAAGTACAGTTTGGATGGTCCCAGCCACACTTTGTTTCTCCACTTTGGAGATGAACAGGACATCTGACATGGGAGATATCGTAGATTCCATTGATGCTCTTACATTCTATTGTACACGTAGTTTGGATCTTGCGAGATGTCCACCCAAGTCCCAGACCACTTGAGACACAACTGGGGTCAGTCCAAAAAGAAGAGTGAGGGTAAAGGAGAAGGGGCAGGGCCTGAGGAGGAGCAGGAGGAGGACGAAGAGGATGACCGCGTAGATTCCATGCTGAAGAAAGCCGGATGCCTGGCACTCCATCATGATGTCCAGGTGAGGAACCTTCATAGGCTTCCATGTAATGCATACATGTATATGTACACTCTAGTTTAGATGCACAAAATGCAGTGAGCTCATGTTATTTGGGAAACTCTGAGAATGGTGTGTAGTTTTCTGGACAGCTACATGTACGACAGTACAACCGTGACGTGTGAAGACATCTGCCAAGTTTTCCTTCTAACTTTTCAGCACTGTTGAAGTCGGGACCATCAAAAGATCAATCACTAGCTACAGGGTGAATAGGGAAGGAATGCTTTTGTTCCTGTTGATTTCAAATAACTGCATGTCTGCGAAAAGACAGAATTCAGAATGGAAGTCTCGTGTTGGTCTTGTGATGTCCAAAGGGGTCTTGACCAAAGATCGTATAGCGCCGAAGGCGCAAGATGGATAACCCTGCCCAAAAGATGTAATTAACATGGGCGCCATTTGAGCAAGCGATACGCCTGCGCAGTTTACAGTAATGTTTTGGCGCAGGCTCACCAGGTGGACGTGCCTGCCGCGGCGCCTGCGCCTGTGCATTAATGTGCATTGCGCAGGCGTATCGCTTGCTCAAATGGCGCCTATGCGATTACAACGTTTTACGTGTGTTCACGGTGAAGTTTGCCATCTTAGCCGCTTGGCGGCACTATACGATCTTTGGTCTTGACTAGGACACTGCTTTTTAAACCAAAGCCAGTTCTTATCATGCCCTGAAAGTGATATTAGCAACATTTAACAGCTGACACAAAAAACACAAAACTCCAGAGTTTGTGTGCTTTCTTCAGAATTGCATGGCGGAGCATAGGGACTGGCGACAGTGTCAGAAAGAGGTGGCCAGGTTCAAGGAGTGCGTGTCCACAAAGATGCCAAGGACATCTAAGCAGCAAGACCAGCCATGATGTGGTCGGGCAAGACATATCATCAATTTTGTCGCAGAGGTGATGTCAGAACAGGATGCCTTGTTTACTAGCCACCGGATAGCCAGTGATCAGTGCATGAGCACAAGGTTTGCAGACTGGACCTTGTCACCATCTTCCTGTTTACATGTCTCTGTGATGGTTTGGAAAAGCCAAATCTCAGGGGAAAGAAGACTAAACCAGAACAGTGGTTTGAAGAGGAGGCTGGTGATACAGCTTCTTTCACTTTTAGAGTTTTTTATGCACATGTAGTCATTAGTACCAGAAGCTTCAATTCTAGTCAGCCCTGGTAAACAGTGCATATGCCATGTTATAATTATGCAGAATGTCATGAAAAGTACTCAAAAATAATGTACATAATTTTTCTACTTCCCATGTATTCAGTAATAGCGTTGTGATAACTTTGAGAACAGAAATCTGTAATAGGTTGAAATGGGATTAAGGTGAAGAGGTTGGAAGTGAAGTACATGTAGTTGGGGTAACCAGCAGCACAGCTTATAAGCCTGACATTACATGTACATGTACGGTACCTCAAGATGAGAGGCAAGTCCCCTCCTAGCCAAAGGACCATCCTGGGCAGTGCACATTCAATTGCCATCATACCAGCAATAACAATGACACTCATGAACATCTTTACCCAACCTCCAATGTTGACATTGTAATCCATCAGCCAATAGATGTTTACAGTGCTCGTATTCCATCTTGATGGGATAATCTGTTGTCAACTTCCAAGAGGGTTTCCTTCTGGCTTCTGACTGGGAAAGGCACAGAAGCCTGAAGGGAACCGAGCAAGATCAAGATTTCTCAGGCTTTAACAGTCTGGCCCGGGGGTACATTACATTATTTTCAATGACATTATTTCAATGAAGTGTAGCATTTCATCAGTTAGGTAACATACCTTATGAAGATGATACAAATACATAGTGTGCAGCATCAGTGAAACGCAGAGAATTTCAGAAATATCTACAGTGGATAAAAGGACTAGTAATTAGTACACTGGCTAATCTGGCCCAGCCCTTTAAAACCTCAAGAAGTCACTTAAATTTGATTAATTTCAAAACAAGCAGGAGCTAATTCATGTATGTCTTTTCGTTTTTATGTCCAGAGAGAATGGAAATAAGTCAACAATTGTTTCAGTGGCATAGGCATGGAAAGACAGGTGGAATCCAGATATTTGATACCATAACCATTGGTGCATTTTGAAGAATTTGTCACACAAAAACGGGTCAGGTGTACAATATCCTTTGTTCTCTGTTTATTTGCCTCCAATAAAAATACAAATATTCTCTTATAATTTCAGCGTTCTTGCTGTATTTATTGTACATGACAGTGTTGTATGTAAATGCACCGAGCTGCTTATCAACAAATGAATGTCACACACTATCCGTGAATACATTTTTTAATTCGCTGAGCAAAAATCTTATAAATGACTACGGATATGAATACATAGAAGCAGTCTGCATTTCACTAAAACCCAAACCAGAACAAACAAAACCAAACAAAAGGATTTGCAAGGACCTGAATATCCATACTCCTGTACCTGCAATTCCATCACTTTTTGAACACATCTTGTAGATAATTAGCTGTGCAGAATTGATGGTGCACATACAGCTGAATTACGGACACAAAATTTCACTATTCCACAGAGATCCAAATTTAGATTGATTGGTAATGATTCTTGCAATAAAAACATGAATTCATTTCCTGATTAGATAGCAAAACTAGCAAATGAAAATACATCATATATTTGAAAATACTGAGAACAGTACTAAGTGGTGCAGCAAATATTCTAAGAGGTTTCGTGTACCTCTGTTGATAAATATCCACGTCTTCTTTTTAAATTCAATCCATGGCCACCATAAAAATCTTTTAACTAAAAGACATGATAAAGAGTGCAACTGATTATGCAACTGCAGGATCTTGGTGAGCTTCATGGACATGTATGTGGGTCATTCTAGGCATTTGGGGTCCAAAAGTGCTACATTTTCGTGTCCCTGTTACATCTGACCTTTGTTATTTGACATGGAAATATCACTGAAATTGATTTTGAACTATTATTATTTGTTTGGCAGGTAATTTGCATTAATTCATCACTCTTGGCGACAAGAAAATGTGTTCTGAACTTACAAAATAATATATGACAGGGGCATGAAAAACATTGGACCCCTGATTTGTAGAATGACCCATGTGCAAGTATGGTGGATAGGTGGTGCTATAACCGTGATAACATAGGCCACGTCCAAATTACTAGGCTCTGGCTTGAAACTAGACACATCTTGATGGGGAAGGGGCTGAAGCCACAACCATAGACTTGTGTGTATTTTCGAGCCACAGCCAGGTAAGTTGGACACGGCCATACATGTACATGCACACCATGTATTACATGTTTTACACTGAAAAGGAACAATCTCCATGTGAAGTAAGCTTTCATCAGTTGCATGTGTAAATCTGGAAGGCGGCAAATCCCCAATGCTGACGTCGGATTTTCTTATTCATGTCATATTTACATGTACGTGAGGTGAATCCTTGCCCATATCATCACCTGATCATGGCCCCTGGGTCATCGCACACTGTTATCTTGAGATTGACCTTTGCTCCGGAACTGCCTGTAGGGCTTCTTGGCAGTCTTCTGCAAGCTGTCGGAAGTCGTTGATGAAATTGTATTGCTGAAAGTAACGAAACATAAGAAATGTTCTGTTACAAATCATGGACTTATAATTACACATGCTAATAAGACTCTGTTTCCCTGATTTGCTGAAAACTTAATAACCACTGAAATCAATCTGTGAATCTCACAAATTTCTTTCCAAAGGATTTTTTGGGGTTTTTTTTATTTGAATTCATAACTACACAAAGAGTAAAATTTAATCCCACGACCACACTGCATAACTTTCTGAAGGGGGTCCTTTCTCGGGACTTGGTTTTATCTTGATTTCTGCCTTTGTATGGCCCTGACTTAAGGTATGAATCCCATGGGGAAATAACCTGCATCTTTGGGTTATGTGGGCCTTACATGTTTGTTACAAGCAACTCAAAAGTCTCCCTTTGAAAAAGCCTGAATATACATGTACAGTGCACAATTTGTACCCTTTGGCCAACATTGGAAGTGAAATGCACCTGGATGACGTGAGGACCCTGTATGCATGATTAACTACAGGGGGAGGGGCTTTTTGAAACTCCTACCTTGACGGTCTCGATGGCCTTGTGACCCCTCAGCTCCCGTACTTTCTGAATGGCAGTCTCAGAATCTAACCCCGGGTCCAACTGCAGCAGTAGGCAGGCGGCAACAAGGCAAGATCTCCCAAGTCCTCCGTAACAGTGCAATAAAACCTGGAGGCAAATCAGAAATAACATTCGAGTTGAGCTCCTATCAGCTTTATTGTAAGGAAAATTGAAAGAAAAGAAAGTGCTGCTTGTTCCCAAAAAGAGCTTGGAAAGTGAGGAACATGTGTGAATTTTAATAAGAATGAAAGTGTAATGGCGAACGTTTGATAAATCCATGATCTTTATGGAGACATCAATCACTGATACCCAAGTACTAACTGGATGGTGTACATGCCCATATTGCCGTACACAAACAAACTTCATAAAGAGAGTGGCATCCAGCCATCACTCTCAATGCATTATCCAGTCATGTTTCCATGTCTTTGTGAATGAACAAAACTTCATTATACACCCAGCACACGTAGAGTTACCTTCTTCCCAGCTGCAAGGAGATCTCTCAGAGTTTGAAGTGCTCCAAGAATGTTGGAGACTTCCAGATTGGCTCCATCTTCCATGGGCAAGTGGTGGATACCAAACTGGGCCACAGCATATTCAGTTAGCAGCGTCGGCACTCTGTATCGGAGCAGCTCGGCGTTGGTGCACAACAGGAACACATCTGTAATACCCAGCCTTTTTAGGTCATCTAAAAATACAAACACACAGTACCTCACCTCCTTGAATATGCTGTGTCAAAAAATGATTGAGATCATGGAATGCAGACGTGCTGCACCTTCATTGTGGCACTGAACAGCACCCCATGAATGAACAGCAGCGTCTGTGCGGTCGTCTAAAAACAAATGCCGCAGTATGAAATTATGAGCAAGACTTTTAACGGAGAAGCACAAAATCTGAACTTCAGATAATGGATCAATATGTATTAACTTATCTTACCAATATCTGGCTTCAGTTTTCTCCACACTTCGCCAAAGCGACATCCTACATTCAGAAGAAAGAAAACAAAAACCATACATGAAACATACTAGAACTCACTGGGAAGTTACTGTGGCAGTCATCATAAAAGTGACAATTGAAAGTTATTCTGTACACATTAATAGAGGGTTTGCATGGCTGCCAGGTTGCAGGCCCATGCTTTTGTTCCACAGGGTATGCATAAAGATTTCCCTGTGGTACAAAAGAACTGCCCTGCAAGATGGCTATCGTATAAAGCCTCTATAGGATTTGGGTGAGAGGCTTACAACTTGCTGAATGTAAGCATTTTTTACACAAACTTACTTTATACCTGATGTTTTTAACCAAAATTTGCTCGGTCAAATGAAAATCCAAAGTTTACCTGGAATAGCACTTACACCAAGTTGGCCTGGAAGACCATACGCAGACAAGTCCAACCTACAGATTTTGAACCAAACAGAGGCAGAGAAATTCCATCACAGCAAGAACAAACTGACATTCTGCCCTATGTGGGCAAACGCATTCAAACGCAAGAGTTGAAGTCAACTGAGTGGTCTGTTGGTGTATATAAAACAATGAAAAACACATACAGTTACGACTTACGAGTGCATTTTTCGTACAGATGGGCATCTTACCAATCAATTTTTAAGGGTGAAGTGTCAAATGGCTGATCGTCATCTGAGGTGTCAAACTCACAGGACTCATTTTTGTCTATACCATCTTCCTCCTCCATCTCAACATCCTCAGGCATCTGAACAGAAAACAAACACACTACATGTACATGCATTGATTTGAAAATTCAGTCATTTTAGGTGCTTTCCTGTGGCCTTCTGGGATCCAGGTGAATAGAGCCCTACATCCCTTTTTTAATTAATTGGGCTCTTTCATTTCAGACAAGTTAAACTGTTTCAAGCTTAAGCATGTGGTCATGCTATTTAGCGTCAACAAGTATCAGCAAACACAAGTAGTGTCAACAAAGCGTCAACAAGTTGGAAATACCCTCTAACAGATTTAAAAGTGGTTTTTATCATATATGTATTTTAGAGATTCTAATAATTGCCAATGTGTAAAAATAAACACTAAATTTGCTTCAGATTCTCGCAGGAAAATGAAAATTTTTCTTGATCTATGGGGGCCGCCATCTTTCTTTCCCTTGCCGTCCATGCGAAAAACAGATGGTGGCCGGTCGCATTGCACAAACAGGCCCAATTTTGTCAAATTTCAACACTCAAATATCACTTCAGATAGATATAAATACACGAATTTGATATGTAGGATCCTAATTAACATTGTAAATAAAATATCTTTGCACAAATCTGCTTGAATAACTTGTTGACACCAATTGTTAGTGCTCGCCGACACTTGTTGACACTAAATAGCATGACTCTAAGCATGGGCATTTAAATGAAGCCAAGACTTTCAACATCTCTGCGGGATACTTGCTAAGCCTACTCAGAGTCCTTTCAAAATCATACTGCATGTACATGTCTCTGACCCCGTTTATGTTTCTTTTATATCAGAAATTTTGTTCACACTGCATAAAATGTTTGCTGATTTGTAATTGTATGCAGTGCTAGGCCCTACATGTGCATTTTCCAAATAGGCCTATTTCCAAAATTATTCATGAAAAAAATGACCATTTCTTTCAGATGCCCCAGTTTCTCAATTTAGGATTGAAACGGAGAGGACCATTTTTCTGATGACAACTAATAGGCCTATCCAAATGAACAGGTACATGTATAACATGGGTAGGCTAAACATGTACATGTACTTGTACGTACATGTAGGCCTTGGCCTATATTTTTTTATAATAACATGGCAATTTTCAAAAACAACAAACAAAATTTGGCATTTGATGGGATGTCTAAGTAATTTTTCATTGCCTTATTTTTTCAAAAGTCAAACAAATTTACTTTTTTCCAACGAAATTTCCATAAATTTTAAACCAAAATGTTCTGAACATTAGTACATATATGATGTACGAGGTATATTGGCATAAAAATGTTGCCTAGACCCTTCCTCCATGCCTAGACCCACAAGACTCCTTTTATTTAGTCCAAAATTGGGGGGGGGGGAATGACGCCTCAGCTATCACCATTTCCTGTCCAGTGGGTCTATCAGCCGATGGGGAAAGAGACCAAAACAACACTCAACAGGCATGACAAATTGACAAGCTAACTGCTTGTTTAAGTTTGTTAACAACTTAACTAGGCCTAGGCAGGCCTACCTACTTACTGGTACGTTCTTCTCAACTGGTACACCCATTTCTTCTTTTGACATAGCAGGAATTATGTTATGAAGTGGGACACGGTACAACTAACTAGAATAGTGACTGCAGTCTAAACGTTAGACCAATAGGGTACATGTAGGCGTTTTAAATTTTGGAAGCGTCGCTGCTTGGTTACGCAGGGGTCGTTAGGAGCGTTTTTTAATTCGGTGTCAGTGTGCAGGTTCGCGTTTCAAATCTCCCACTACCAGTTATGTTATGGGCAGCCTACTGTTCAAAACTTTGAACGCTTGAAATTACCGACCTTGTTGAGGGCGCTATGTAAATACTAGGAATAGGCTACTTGCGTTCCCATCTGAAGGGCAACAGTTTGTTACTACATGTAGCTTGATTACCAACATGCCGGTTCCGAACAATGCAATTTTGGGGAAAAAAAGTTTTTATCTCTTATGGTGTTTTTAGTGTTTTGAATTTAAAAAGAGGGCTACATTATTTTTTCTCCTCAGTTCCAAAATAAATTAATTTTGTGGGGAAAAATGGAACTTTAAAGTTTGATTTTTTCCGTCCTCTACTATATTTATGTTCATAATCCAATAATAATATAATCCAATAAATAAAAAATGCTGGCCTGATGACCAAGTGTGTCTTCTTCTTTCGTTGTTGTTTTGTTTTAATGGCGCTTTGGACTACTTAGGCTATTTGCACCAGCAACGATACGTTTATTCATAACATTTATTATTCAGCATCTTTTTACGGAATTAGAAAGAAGGTCCAGTTTTAGAGGCAGGAGGAAACCGAGTACCCGGCGAAAACCTGCGAGAGCGAAATGGACTGGAAACCGAATGCATTTAAAGCCTGGGCCAAGCCAGAGGGACTCGAACCCGTGCCTCACTAGTGCAAAGCGAGGAAAGAAAGAACCACTACCGTAACGCTATCCCGCTGACCCACTACCCCATTTCAACCCCCTCCCTTCCCAAGTTCCGAGTACTGTCAGTTTGGATCTCAAAATTCCAAACCTCTTTGCCCTTTTTGTTCACAGATTTTTTAAATTTTGTTTTGGCTATAAGAACAATACGTTCTTTAAAACTGAGTTTGCTGTATACACAATCCTCAACGAAACCTGAGCACTGATTATACTGCTTTCCAAATTTCTGAATTCATTAACTTTTTTGAGGCAGAAGCGAACAACGGTTACGTTATCCCATCGCTAAGGGCGTGGCCTTTCCGCATAATCCAGCAAGTTCGGGACAGACGGTGTGGCATCTGGGCGCGGATTCCTCGCTCGGTTTAAGTTGCGTTTATAGCGGTGCATAGAGTATCAGCTTACCGTGAATAACTTATTTCAAGACGATAGAATATTGGCATAATGTCACATAACCCCCCCCCCTGCGTGGTCTGCCTCCGCATCATATTAGCAATGGTCTTCTAGCTAATTTTCAAGATGGTGATGATCAAGATCAGTGCTCCTACTTAAACCAATGTTCTACTACCTTTTCGTGTTGAAGAAATTCCCCAGATTTTTTCTTCATGGAGATTGCTGGGCTGGATCCATAGAAGTCTTCTGGTCTGGACAACATCGATGGCAAGCTCTTCAAGCTGGCAGCCCCTGATGACGTCATCCTCCCTCTCACGTACATTTTGAATTTTGCCATTTCAACTGGTTCTATTCCTCAAGTATGGACAATGGCAAAAGTTTCCGGATTTTAAAGCAGGAAATCGTAAAATGCTATCGGCCTAGATATTAGTTTTACCCTTGTTTCAAATATCCGTGCAAAGGCGGTCCACTCCCAACTCCTTCCTTACCTCACTACAAATAATATTTTTCCCCCAACCACCCCAGATTCGAACCTGAGTACTCCACCCTAGCAGCAGTGGCTCGTGCCCACGATAGCTGGCTCCATCACAGTAACGATGGTAAATTATGGCTCTTTATTTATTGACTTACAGAAAGCGTTTGACACTGTTAACCACAGCATTCTTTTACACTAACTTCCTTTCTATGGTTTTCCCACTTCAATCGTTGGCTGGCTATCGTCGTATTTACCTGGTAGAACGCAGCAGTATGTTACAAGTCTACACCTTCTTCAGTCAACCTAATTACATCTGGCATACCACAAGGATCGATTCTCGGCCCTTTGCTTTTTTCATTACATATCGATGATTTGCCCAGATGTCTTTACCACTGTAGCATTGACATGTGCAGACGATACTCTCATTTATTGTGGTGATAAAAACACGGAACTCATTGAAAACGGATAATTAAACTCGGATGTTCGCAGCATGACAAAATGGCTACAGGCTATAAACAAATTCTCCTCAAAAGACAGAAGTTATGCTGATTGGAACTGCTCAAAAACAACTCTGAAAATCTTCATTTCGGGACAAACAATGAAACAATTAGCATAAGCACTTAGGTGTAGTAAGAGACAGCAAACTCAACTTTTCGGAACATGTTACTATAGTCTGTAATAAAATCAATTCTTCTATTTCTGTGCTAACCAAGACAAAAAAGTTTGTTAAAACTACTGGTTTTTTTGGGGGGGGGTATGCAACGCTCTCATTTACCCCATATTGACTACTGGTGCATGGTGTGGCTCTCACCACCAAAATTCAAAACTTCAAAACAGAACCCTACGTGTTGTTTTTAAATTTTCCCCATTTTCGACCACTAATCTAATTTTCAGTACCATTGATACAATGATAGTTCCCTAACGTATTCACTTTCAACTTGGCTGCCAGGCTTTTAGGGCTCAGTGGCATCGGTGTTGCCCCGAACTATTTGTGCCGGAAACTCAACCGGATCCAGCTTGGCAAACGACAGCGCAACTTCGTTATTCCTAAACCTAAATGTGAACTTTTTAAGAATATAGTTTTAGTTACAGAGCTTCTGTATTTTTAAAGATATTCCTCTCGCCATTCGCTAAGGCCCTTATTCTTCTTTTCGGCGGCTGCTGAAAGATAATAATAGGATAGTCCCACATACATGTATTAACCTTGTACTCTGCCAGTTCATCTGTACTTGCATTTTTGGATAGTTAATATTAATTCTTGGGGGAGGTAGGGGACGCTCAATGTTTTCTTTATGTATTTTCCCTTGTACTTATACCTATTTTCCCCCTCTTTTTGAATTGCTTTCTTTTTCCACTTTTTATTTCTTAATGGATTTTAAATGTAATTTTTTTTAAGAATGAGAAATCTTTTTTGTGGTCATCCACATGTATTTGTGATAATGTTTATATTACGATCTTGATGGATTTCTTTTTCTTTTTTAATGAGGGTCCCAAATGCTGCTGGATGGGTTACCCTCAATGAAGATGGTTTAAATTTAAAAAAGTAAAATAAAATAAAATAAAATTACCCAGATTATTGTCCGAATCTAGGTATATGGACAGTGTGGTTGCCACGAACAGGTCAACCTTTATACTTTGGTGACTTTTACTGTTCTTTGTATCAAGGCAAGTAGGGTGTTTTAGTGTTTTACAAAACCTTGACAAATATTTGCATTAATATAAATGGTTCTTAATTTTGTCAGACCAGCAGGCCATCATCATAACCGCTCGGCCTCTAGACTGGTGCCGTTGTCTAGGGTTACAAGCACATAATCTCTCATTAATACGGCAGGACACAAGTTCATATTTGTGTACCTCCAAATACGTGAAGTCTGTGATGAGTACGTCCAGCTCTCGGATCGTCGCGCCGCACCGCACCGCACCGCACCGCATCCTTGGCTTAATGTTTGCGTGCTTATATTCTTCCGTGATGAGACCGGTGGAAATGCTGGTAAGAGCGTGGAGGTGTCTGTACTTGGCTTAGGTAACAAACTAATCTATTACATATCTCTAGAAGTTCGTGTTTCCCAACCCAGTAGTCTTGCCCTGCTACCGGGCACGGCCAGGGAACCTACGTTACTTTATTACGTAGTCACCAGCCCAGGTTGGACGACGTCTACATTACATTGCGACTAAGATATACGTCGTCCAACCTGGGCTACCTAGTCACCTACTCTAGCGGGATGCAGAATCTTCTGTTTTCAGGTTTTGCTGCAGCAACCTGATAGTGATACAGATACAGATGAAAATAATGAAGACTGGCATTGGGGTTGGACAGTCCAAGATAATGCAGGTCCAACGTCGACCAGATTAGGCCATGTACATGTACCTCTATCTAGACCTACATTAGACCCGTAAACAGGGCCCAACAAAGCTCCGTCGTATACTGGGCCCAGTCCCAATTAATAGGGATTTCTTTCAAAAACTTTATCCAGGACATCCGTGGGCATAACTAAACATCCGCTTAATTTTATGAGATGAAATTGCACCGGTATTTTCACTACTTACACTGTAAAAAATCCACTAGGTTGCTAATTATAGAAAACTCGCCTTTTCCTCGTTTGGAGGAAAAAAATGTTGCCTTTTTGCCGTTTTCCCACTTCGTACAAATTTTCGCCTGACTTGTACATTACACAGACTCCTTTGTATGATTAAGTAATGGTACCCTGTACGAGAGCCCGTCTAGTTAGTAGTTTGCACCCAGACTTCAGCACCTACATATCTCGTTCAGATCTGCGAGAGTACCTGTCGATCTAAGTACTCGTAGAAAATAGCGCGGCTCGCTCTCAGTAACATGAAGTGACGAAACAGCCGTTGCTTTTGTGCTAGTAGGACAAACTTCGTCCAGAGTGGGAAAACGGCAAAAAAAAGGTAACTTTTTTTCCTCAAATGAGGAAAAGGCAGATTTCCTACAATTAACAACCTAGTGCATGGTTTACACCATAAGTAGTGAACATGCTGGTGCAATTTCAGCTCATAAAAATCAAGCGGATGTTTAGTTACGCCCCCAGATATCCTTTTTCGAAAGAAATCCCTATGAATCGGGAAATGGCCCAGTATACGACGGAGGAGTATTCGTCGGGCCCTGTTTATGGGTCTAGACCTAAATGTGACACTAACTAGGCCCTACATCTACAGTACATGTGTTCAACAAGGCCCAGGCTACTTACTGTTACCACTTGCCTCGTGATTGTTTAAGTCTCACATACAGTTCTGCAAGACCCACTGACTTTGAGCAATTTTAGAAAAACAAAGTAAAATGAAAAAAATTAACAGTAGGCCCTATTTCATTCCTTACAGTGTTATTAAATGTTTTGAAAATGAAATGAACTAAGTTCTATTTTTTTCTCCTTTGATCCTAGAGATGTTAATTGCAGAGAAACATGGAACTTTAGAGTCTGAACTCTTATTTTTCCATAATCCAATAAATACATGTAATTGATCGCCTCATGGTCAATACAGCTTCCAGAAAGTAGAACACAGTCTGATGGCAGAAGTTCATCGTGTGCCTTACTTTTTGGCACTTACTTTTGTTGTATGTACTTTTGGGAGGTCGTAACAAAGACGGAGGGAAACTGAATTGAGCTTTGATGGGAAGTTAGCATCTTTGTTAGAATTCCACTTTTTCAAACAAATCTCAGGAATTTTCAATCTGATTTAGATGTTATTTGACACACCTTTTAAAGTGTTTAAAGCTGAAGAAGGCAAAGCTACCCATCCTTTGTATGTTCCATTCCCGCATCGCTTCACTCAACCCCACTGGATGGTTTCCATTTATTTAAAATATGAGATAGTGAACTTAGCATGTACTTCACGTCTGAGGATAAGAGTAAGGCCCAGCCAAGGTATGAAATTTAACTAAAACATAATTTGCTGTGGTCTGCTTTTTCAGAGGCTCGGGAGAAAAATGTGATGGACCATGGCCGACTTTGATTTCTCTGTTGTTAATGGAAGACGGAGTACTTTTCAACTTCCACAGAAGAACTTACGATATGGTAACTTTGAGGGTGTGAAGGCACTCCCACATGTTGGCAGCGCAGCTGTCACTAGTGAGCAGCTGGCAAAGACAGGCAGCCACTTCAACAACAAGCGGATATTCCAGAAAGTGTGCCAGTGGTTTGAGACATGGATGCCGTGGCAGAAACGAATCCTGCTCTGCGGGATAACCGACCGATGCTCCAGCAGCCAACTGGAGTATCTGGCCACAGCCTTGGAGCCAGTCTTCCACCGCGACTTCTCGGCATCGCTCAACAAGGAGAAGTTTTCCGGCACGCCTCCCAAGAAGCGACAGGAGGAAGACCCCCAGATGGCACTGCTGAAGGCACTGCAGATGGCCACTAAAGGGACCAAATATGAGGGCGATTATCTACTGGTGAGGTCAGGAAGGCAGTCCCGTGGATACAGTGATTTGGAGGGATTTGCACAGGAGTATGTGAAGCAGGTGATAGAGGGAGCCCTCGAGATGATGTACGGCAGGTTTTCCAAGACCAAACCGCCAAGTGATCATCAAGGTCAATTCCAGATGCAACAGCCACTCCAGCCACATGAACGGGGCGAGAGCACCGTCCCTCCACACCTTACCCTAGATGTTCCGAAATTCAGGAAACTATCAGAGGAGGAGTGCTTGACCTCCGAAAGCACCGGTCAGTTGATACCGACCATAACCACCGATTCCGATCACCAGGTGCAGAGGACGAAAAGAGCCACGCGCACACTGACAGCCCCACCATCACACAGCTATGGCTCCCAGTCCAGAAGTCCAGCCAGGTCTGTCCAGGATCTGCAGCCACCTCCAGAACACTGCAAGCACGGGCGCCACTGGACCTTCCCAGGTTGCCAGAACCTGCAAACTCCCCTCTTCTCCGATAATCTGACAGGCCGGGTGGCCACGGACAGTGGTACAAATTTCACTCCAGGTTATGGGACTGGTAGCTATGCTCCACTGCAGGCCAATAAAGTAAGGAATAAAATAATCTTGAAAAGATTTTATGAGTGGAAACAGTCGTTCAACCTTAGATCAACGCTAGCTCTGGCTTGAATTCATTTCATTCACATTTGTACACATGTGTACAACTTTATGAGAAAACAAGAGAAATACATTTGGACCATCGATCTTAAAAATAATCCAAAAAGAGGGGTTTTTTACCATACCACCCAAAATAGTGGAAAGGGGCTTCCCCTTTCACATCACAGTTTTCTGATGACAAATCATTGGTGCACATGTGTTGCAAAGATCTTGCAGTACATTTACATGTAATTTACACCACATCCCATTATTGAGCTCTTTTCTGCATACACAGTCAATGAAATAATCACTCATTTGTATGAAAACAAGTGCTTTTGAAAACCTACATGTACATGTGCTCAAGACACACCAAAAATGAAGGCTTAACATGGAAAGGTAAAATACTTATGTGGCATTCATATCAATGGAAATGTACTGTTCAGTTTTACCAGGCACATGTATTATTAAAACACATATACACTATACATAATGTATGTACATGCACACCTGTTCTTACTTTAGGTTTCTACATTGACTTGGTGTATGAAACACCAAAGAAGGGACAGGACACCAACCAGTCCAGCATCGCCAGGGGCCAGCAGGCCAGCATCTCATCATCACAACAGCCATGTCAGCTCAGGCAGTGTCAGCACAAGGGATTTCTTTGAGCACAAGCAACAGTCACAAAAGCTGGGTAATCACTTTTGGTCTACCAACAGAAAGGCACCAGCTTTCATGGCTTCACCATGGCTTAGCAAATAATAAATGCTAGGTCCAAATTAGCAGAGAGCCAGTTATGAGCAATACAAGCAAGAAAACCGTCCATGTGTACATGCATATGAACTTGATTTTATGATGAAAAAACAAAACATCCGATAACTTCTTGTCCAAAGCAACAGTGAAATATAGAAACCACTGCTGTCATTGGAGTAATAACATGCATTTCAAACACATTGCAGTGGCAGTACAAATATACATGTAGAAAGCTGTCATGGTGATAAATTGATCTCAGAATTGCTTGTCATGCCACAAAAGAGAGACACTGGCAAAGTGGCAGGACTGTTGTTGTAATCGTTTCATTAATAACCCACAGTATAACTCAAAGTGGGACATTGTGGGTGGATCCTTTGTAATCAATGACATTCATTTTACTTAAAAAAAATTATCAAATCTTATCTGATCTTATTATCATATTATCTATGTTTTTCTCTCTTTTTAGGCACTATGTTCAGGGCTTTGCGGACTGGTCAGATCCGGAAGCCAGACAAACTTACTGATGTTTCCATTCCGCTTCAAAAGACTTTCAAACATGCCAAATGGTGGGGAAAGGAGCCGACTGGTACTCGGCAACTGGTGCCCGCTCATCACAAGGATCTAAAAGAACACTTCAAGAACCAGATAGCTCAAGTGTGGGTGGTAAGCACCACAGGAACATGACAACCAGAAATAACAATGGTTCCCTTGCAGAATACCCCACCACTCATCTGTCTCTCCTCAAAGCAGGCTACAGAGTCTCAATTGACTGTCCACTGGTGCTCCCTGCATGTTATGCATGCGTCATATATGTACATTTGCGTAATGTACATTTTGTGCACAGTACACGTGGAAACTTTGGCCATGCGGGTACAGGCCAACTCTGAGCTATGTAATACATTGTCAATTGCCTTTCGTTGTATAAGAACATTCGTGGCACAATACCTATGCAGTTACCATCAAGCACGCCCATGCATACTTGATAATAATATCCTATCCTATATAATCTACCCATAGTGGATGCAGGACTGGGAGGAATTGGAGAAGGGAGATCTGCTAGTTGAGCTGATCAAGATGTGCGACCAAGATCTCTTGAAATTTCTGGCTGATTGTCTCCAACAGAGGTAACTCAGACTGTTATCTCACCCTTCTGAAACAGCAGTTGCTTACAAACTAGAAAAGAATCAAAGAATGATTTGACGTTTAATTTCCAGTCACTCTTGAATGCCATGAAGTGATAACAGGAGACTTATGCCAATACTGCACATAGTTGTCAAGCACATTTTTCAATGTTTCCATTCTCAGATTGGAGCAATATATAATGCTGAAAAAAAAATAAGATTTGATTGCAGTTTCACATGATAGGCTGAAGTTAAATTTTTTGGCGTCTGAGTCTGTCCACTCCACTGTCTTCAACCTCCAATCGAGATCCATTTCCATTTTTTGGTTTAATGACATGGCTTATTTAGTCACATGTACATCTAAAGGCCTGAAGCAGTATACTTGTTTTCATGTGATTGTTTGTCTGCGGAATATTTAATCATTTCTTGTCGTTTCCAGTCACAACTAAAGTTGTTCCAAGCAAAAATTTACTTGTTCATGTATGTTTTTTTTCCATTTTGCACGCAATCATAGACTGAGACATTTGTACAAATGGTATGTATACCTGCAATGCAGTGAAGGTGTGCTGTGATCATGGAACAGATTTAATACTTATGTGACACTACTAACAAGTGCTTCACTTTTCAGTCCATTATTTGGTAGTATTGAAACCAAGATTGAGCAAGTTTATGGACCCAAGTTGGACCACCAAAATGTCTAAAATAAGTTTTGTGCACATGAGATACATGTACGTCAAATTTACCTCCAAATTGATGAGGGTAGATAAGTACAAAAGGCCTGGAGTGCCATCAAGCATATATTTTCAAAAAGTGAAGTATGTTTTTTGAAGTTTGTTTTATGAAGTAGCGGTATATTTTCCCAAGTTCATTTGTTCTCAAGTTTGTTCCTGTAAGATCTATTAATAGAAATGTTTCTATTCTTGGAAACAAATCGTTTTTAGGAGATATTTTTTCCAAGTTCGTTTTAGGAGATATTTTTGAAAGTTCAGATTTATGAGTTACATTTTTTGGAAGTTTGTTTTTGTGACAAATAAATACAACCCTGACAATATATATCTCCTGAAAATTAACTTGGAAAAATGTATCTCACAAAAAACAAATTTCATCAAAAATATATCTTGTGAAAATGATGTGTTTCCAAAGATAGAAACAATGTTTCTAAATATAGATTTCCAAACGGTAGAATGTATGTCTCGCACAAAGTGGGCCAAAATATATTTCCCTAAATTGGACTTCAAAAAAAATACATCACTTATTCAAAATACATGTATATACTTGATGGCACTCCTGGGCTTTCATAGTTAAAGGTATGTGAGTTTCATCACTAAAATGGAAGCTGTACCCCGTCCAGTAAAAATGTGTATGTCATTCTTTTTCTTCGTCAGTGCGGCTCAAAATTAGGAATTTATTATTACATGTACATGTATGTGATGACTCACGTATTCTCATAATTGGGACCCAACTTTATTTTTTTGTCTACACAACCTTTTTTCCACGTGCGAGCTTGGATATTTTGTAGCAGTGTGTCTGTCAATGAGCATGTCTCTTCTGTGTTTTTGCATGCACATACATGTATGTAATGTACTGTACATTAAATCTGCTGTCTGTCAGCAATCTTCTTGCGACCACACTCAACACTACCACTTCATGCATCTTGCATGGTCTTTCCACTTTGGTTTTTTTTTTAGTCAATGTAATAGGTTTCGAATAGCCAATCTTAGATATTGAATATACCGCATATGACAGGTACATTCCTTGCAAATAGAATTGGCCAAACTGTCACAGGTAAAGTATTCATGAAGGAGCAATCAATCATCAAATGAGTAATATTGTGGTATCCTTACATTGTATGTTGCTGTGAGGAACAGCAGCTATGAAACTTGTCAGTGTCAATAAAGGTAGCTACATGTACATGTATGCTCACATGCAGCTGCAGTTACCAATAACAACCACATGCAGTAAGAAAGCCAACCGCTTTGGCTCTGGCTACTTTCTGTTGATCTGGGTGTTATATTATTACATGTAGTCAAAGCCCTGACGTTTGAACATGAGGTGAATTACTCTTTCTCTGGAAAAATGGGTTTGAATTTGAGTATTATAGCTCATGGTTGGTGACAGTGATAGAACTTGGCCAACTTCGACAATGCAGCAGCAATTTTTCAACTTTTATGAACATGTATCACTGAGCCCAGTTCATGTTCATGTAAGTGAAAAACACATCAGATTGGATGCAGAAGCTGTGAAAAGGAAGACATGGCTGAAACTAACTCTGTCATGTACACGTAACTATTTTCCATCTCCCAAACTTCACCTGTGCCCGTGTGTTTAACGGTATCCTGATTTTTACACGGTTGTTACTTGTCAGTCATAGCATCTGCGCCCCATAGTTTGAGCCGCGATATTTGTCTGTGTTGATTGGTGCAGGTTGCGCGATCGCAATGACATCAATTGCCTGCCAGACAAGCTACTGCTTCACATCTTCTCCTTCCTGCCTGCGCATGACATCTTCATGGCTGAGAGAGTCTGTCGAAGGTGGCGCTACATTGGTGCGCAGGATGCCCTGTGGAGAATCAAGTGTCAAGGGATGGGTGAGTGGTAATTGAAGTTAAAACACAAGTTTCGCAGAATAAAAGTTAAAAGATTCTTTGTAAACTGTTGGTCAAATTGATGGTTGGAAATTGTGATAACTCTTTGCGAGATATGTGACACTGCTGGAAAAAGCTTTGTTTTGAAACTTTTCAGAACCTTGCATTTTCTCACAGAAGAGATTTCATGTAACAATGAAAAATAGTAATTTATGTGAAATAGTAAAGTTTCGGTTACGTCAGGGATGTATGCTTTACTGTAAATCAGAACTTGTGAAATGTCAGTCTCCAATACATACATGTATGTACATGTAAATTTCGTATCTGTTGGATAATTCATAGTCCTATTTGGCAAAGTTTGTGTAGCCAGATCATTTTTACGCAATAGTAGTGTGATTTTTGTGAAGCCAGTTGGTCAGGATTGTAGCCAAATTTGTCAATATTTGCTGCTTGGTAACAATGACAACTGACAGCCTGTAATTATGAATTTGTAATGTACAATGTAGTTCCAAGATTTCTGCTTTTTATGTGATTGCATTGTTTTGGCATTGTATAGCCCTTTGTGAGTTAAATTGGAATAGTATGACACACTCAAATGTTTTAGTTGCACATGTAAACACTGGATTTGTAGATTTGAATTTCCAGGCCCGAGAAGAGATTGACCTCAGGCTTACCTTGTCTTTTAGCTCTCCTACTTCATCGAGTGAGACTTGGTGCTTTTGCCTCCTAGGGAGTGTAGACTCCTGGAGTGAATCAGTGCAGTTGGCAGCATCATTGGTCATTTGTTTCATGTATGTGCATGCAGGTGCCAAGGAAGGCTTGCTAGACCTGCCTGGCTTGATTGAGGAGTTCAATCAAGGCTACAGTGTGGACTGGAGGAGTGCATACACTGAACTGTGTGAGGTCGCCCAGCATGCTAAGAAACCAGCCATTCCTACGGCCCAAGGTGGGATATGATTGGAATACTAACTGCTTCAAAAGATGCAGTACAAACTAGCCTCTCAACATGGCCCTTTTTACTAGGGGCCCTCCTCAATCCTCCAAAATCCGCCAATTTGGGGGATGAAGAAATTGGAATCTCCCTCAATCCGCCGAAATCCTCCCAAATTTCTTGAAAATGTTACTTGGGGGTGTGCCTACTGCCTCAAGCCTTCAAAATCCGCCAGCAATTCCTGTCATATTGAGGCAGTGCGAATGACATTCTTGAGCAGTGCAGCTGATTTAAAACATATCGGGCTGAATTTATGCATGACTAAGCAAAAATAACACAAGGTCTAACCATGACATGCATGGCATCCTTCGCAATAAGCCATGCACTTTTGCCATTCATCCTCAATTCTCTGAAATCCTCCAAAACCACATGAAGGATTTTTGAGGATTGAGGAGGGTTAGGGTTAAAATGAAATGAAGTGCTAAATAGATTACCAAGAGTTGAAGTAGTGGCACTTGTTTTATAACAACCCCAGAGATTCTGCACATTTTAAGAAGTGTCATTTCAGTTCAAGCAAATTCCAATGCAGCAGTAACTGTTCATTATTTTAAAATCAACTGAAACCTGACCCATACATTTCAGTATTTTTCCTGATAAAATGTTTTCATTCCTTTCTGGTGTCAAAAACATAAAGTTCATGAATGTACGTGCAGTACATGTACATGTATGTCACAGTGGGTAGTACCGTACAGATTCAGTTTACCACGGAATAGTCTGTTAGCGAAACAAACTTGAGGCTACAACTAGGCATGTTCTCTGCCAATCAAGAGACAGAGTATCTCAGAGTAGTGAAGGTGTTGTAGTGTTAGATCCACAGTCCTAGTCACTCCACATCATTAATTGAGTCTGTGTGTTTACTGCCAGGCATTTAGATGCTTGATGTGGATAAAGGCACGTAGTCCAAACATTGGACAGTAAACACCTCTCCCAAAAATTCAAGATCTTGTATAAAACAAGCTTTGAAGAGAGTAGTTTTCATAACAGACTCACCCAGTAGTTCTTGAGTACTTTATCCCAAAGCTCAATTCAAAACAAACTCCCCAATTTAGCTTTCTTTCTAATGCTGACTATGTTTGCTGTCTCGTATCTTGTTTTTTTCTGCAACGTGTATGTTCACAGCAAACTGGCGAATATTTGAGGATAACAAAAAGGCTAGAAAAGTACGACCGTAATGCTGCTTTCAAGTGTTTTCTGTAATATTCCCATTTCTCTTCAGTTGGCGAGACTGGGACCAAGAAGTGGCTGTCCATCAGGTTCACAGAATTTATGAAGAAACGGACCCAGACACCAGAGTCTGACAAACTGAGTGAGTGTTGTCAATTGATGACAGTACAAGGTGCCAATATTGGAGGGGGAGAATGTGGGGATTTAAGCCTCTAGAAATTTGCTGCTGAAGAGCGACTTTGCTGAAGTTGTTTCAGGTTTAAGGCAACTGACACATGGCCGGCACGATGCCCTTGCCAAAAAGGAAGTGGGGGGGGTCAAAATGTCATCAGAACAAAACTAAAGAAGTTGTGGCTAAGAGCCAGTATAAATTTGCCATCTTTCGTGATTTGTTACATCCAAAGGTTTGGGCTCGTAAACGTGGGTGGCGTGGTTTACGGTTGAAAGTGGGAATTTCCCCTCATGAATTCGAGGTTCTGTTACAGTCTTTTTCTGTAAATGTTTTCATTCATCTTTTGTGCAGTTTACATTTTCTCATAAAACTCTGGAAATCTAACACTTCAATGCTTAGTGAAATGTCGGAAAAACTTGATTACCAAAAAGGATGATCAAAAACCTTAAATTTTTTTCTTTGATTTTGCAAACATTCTTTGGCAAGTTTTTTTATCATATGTATATGCAGTGCATTGACTTGAAGTGACTTTCTATTTATCCTGTGATTCTGTGATAATAAAGAAAGTAAGGAAATTCCATCTCTTAGCAATGCTTCATTATTGACCCGCTCTTGACTTCAGCACCTATTGAGAGTGAGAGTTTGTCATCCGAAGAAAGTTCCACAGAAGATTTTGATCGGAAGCACAGCACAGTAGGTGAGTCACAAAATTCTCAGGAAAGTCAATGCTTTTGACCCTTGTCTACTGCACTGGATTC